TCTCTTTCTTCAGCCCGCTGTATGAATATTTGCATATAATTACAGCGTTTTGCCACCATAGGCTGTTCCCTTGTATCGACAAACCTGAAGATCATAATCGTCATTTTCTAAAAATTAAATATATTAGCAGAGGTATTGATTTTATCAACTTATCTAGTATATTTAATGACTCTACCGTTCAAAACTTCATATCTCCCTATTTTGATAACACAGAACCACCTATTATTTCATATACATACAAAAAACCCAGCAGAAGTTTTTTTTTTAATTATACGCCGGTAACATCAGACGTCAATGTAGAAAATAATACTCCTTTAACTTGAAACTGTGAATCGTCGAAGTTTAGATATGTTCCCTATGGCCATGTTATTACGGGGGACCTCAATATCGTTCAGGACAGAGAGGTTACAAACCTTTTGAATTAAAGGACCAAAATATCGTCCTCCATCTAAAATAGATTGAAAACAGTGTCGTCAGGTCACAAAAGATGCTCTTTCCTCGTCTTGTAAAAATTGGTGTAAACGGGAAAAATCTGATAAAAAATCTCTTGATTCTTATTTAAATAAATGTATGAATGTGGTAGATAATAGAATATCACGTTTTGAAAATAATTTAGAAGTAAATAATAGAGTACATAATACACCCATTTCCAGAATAAGAAATAAACCTCAAGAACTTTCAAAGCAGTTTGTGTTTGTACCGGCCGACAAAGCAGCCAACAATGTAGTGGTGGTATGCCGTAAATACTACACGGACGTTCTTAAGAATGAAATTTTAAATTCATCTACATTCAAGTCCATGCGCCCCACAGAGAGTCATATAGTTAACAAGCATATCATAACCACATCACAGCTTAAGGCTACTTCTGAACATTTGAAGGTCCCTACTATGTATTGGTTACCTAAACTACACAAAAAACCAGTAAAATATCGTTTCATCTCGGCCTCTTGTAAGTGTTCTACAACTAATCTTTCAGTGCTTTTAACAAGTTCCTTAACTACTATCAAAGAGCTTATCATAAACTATTGTAATAAAATATATGAAAATAGTGGAATTAACTATTTTTGGAGTGTAAAAATATTCTTTGGATGTTTTAGATAAATTTTGTGCATTTGATGGTCCTTTTGATTCTGTTGACAGTTTTGACTTTTCTACTCTTTACACTACACTTCCGCACAATCTTATCAAACAAAAATTTGACTAGTATTTAATTAAATGGTCGTTTGGTAAATCTGAATGCACATATATTTGCTGCAACTCATTTAAAGCCTTCTTCTCTAATGAGAAAGGTAAATATGCTAGATATACTTACTGGAGGTGTGATGAGATGATTGAAGCTGTTAATTTTCTCCTTGATAATATTTATGTCCGTTTCGGCACCAAAGTTTATCGACAGGTTCTAGGTATTCCTATGGGCACTAATTGCGCCCCTTTAATAGCAGACTTGTTTTTGTACTGTTATGAATCACAGTTTATGACCAAACTCAGTAAAGACCCGTCTAAATTGCATTTAATTGATAAATTCAACAACACTTACCGTTATCTTGATGATATTTTTTGTTAAATAATCAAGAATTTTCTCAATATACTGTTGAAATTTACCCAGAGAAACTTACTTTAAATAAATCAAATTTAAACGGTAACAACTGTCCTTTCCTAGATTTAGATATTTCGGTTTTACACGAGGAATTCCACACTAAAATTAACGACAAAAGGGACGATTTTTCGTTCCCTATTGTTAATTTTCCCTTTTTGGATGGTGATGTTCCTTTGGCACAATCTTATGGTGTTTATATTTCACAACTCGTTCGCTATGCCCGTGTCTGTTGTGACGTTTTTGATTTTAACGAACGTAATCTATGTATTACTGGTAAATTATTAAGCCAAGGATTTCGTTACCACAAATTACTTAAAACCTTTACTAAATTCTTCCACAGATATAAAGATTTGGTTTTGAAGTTTGGCTGTACCTGTGGAAAACTTATTTCAAACGGGATTGCACACCCTCATTTTTACGGCAATATTGTTTACCGTGCCCGGAAATTTAGAAACGATCCTGGTAAACTTATCGATCCTTTAAATAAACTTATTCTATAGGTTACCAATTCAACACTGTAATTAGATCATTATTATATTGATTTTGTTATCAGTAAATTAAAAGCATACTAAATATTATTGTTATATACATATACACGTTCATGGATCTACAATATGTCGATGCCTGTATCTTGGCATTGCACAAGGTCATGTTTTTCTCTGACTGTTTATGACGTCTTTACACTAAATCCATTGGATGCTGGATGTGTACGGATTGATAATTTAGTCTTAGATGCATGATGTTTTTTATTAGTTGCTAGTGGCTTTGAACTAGCTGTCAGTAACTGCGAGTACTCTCAGATCTGTACTTTGTGTCTTTTTGTTGTTTGGATGTACAAGTACCCGGCCACGTCCACTTGTATTTGTAGTATTTGTATTTTTATATCTGATGAGTTAAGCTTCTTTCAAATGATTTTTATAGTTCGTTCTTATGTTGTACTGTTACACCACTGTCCCAGGTTAGGGGGAGGATTGGGATCCCGCTAACATGTTTAACCCCGCCACATTCTGTATGTATGTGCCTGTTCCTAGTCAGGAGCCTGTAATTCAGTGGTTGTCGTCTGTTTATGTGTTACATATTTGTTTTTCGTTCATTTTTTGTACATGAACTATGTCGTTAGTTTTCTCGTTTGAATTGTTTTACATTGTCATTTCGGGGCCTTTTATAGCTGACTGTGCTGTATGGGCTTTGCTCATTGTTGAAGGCCGTACGGTGACCTATAGTTGTTAATTTCTGTGTCATTTGGTCTCTTGTGGAGAATTGTCTCATTGGCAATCATACCACATCTTCTTTTTTATATAAGTTGATGTACCTCATCAACAGTTTTGGACAGCTATTTATTTTACTTATTTTCTTTGTTTTATCTGTTTTATTTATTTTATGTATATATTTTATTTGTCTTAAGTTAACTACTATAGGTCACCGTATGGACCTCAACACATTTGTATTGTTCCTTTTTAAAGTGGTTATATGAATTAATTTAGTTTTATAGCGTTATGAACTGTTGTGAATATGTGTACGTGTCAAATTAACGTAAAAATATAAAACAACATATGTATAATGATATACGATTGAATGACGTCCGGCAAATAGAGGTATAAAAACGCTACCCGAGAAATGTTTATGGTCACTGTGTAATCAATTCGATCTAAATTTAAATCTAAATTTCCGGGCTCGGTTAACAACATATACGTATACTTTAGGATATGCTATTCTGCGTGAAATAAGTTCTCTACGGGTACAATCAAATTGCAAACCAAATATTTGTATCTTTTGAAGAATTTAGTAAAGGTTTTAAGTAATTTGTGGTAACGAAATCCCTGACTTAATAATTTACTAGTAATACAAGAATAAAATTGAGACAACAACCCGACCAAAGAACAGAAAACAGCCGAAGGCCACCAATGGTTTTCAACACAGCGAGAAAATCCCGCACCCGGAGGCGGGCTTCAGCTGGCCCCTAAACAAAAATGTGTACTAATTCAGTGAAAATGGACGTCACACTAACCTCCAAAACATATAAATAAACAAAAATTAAAAAACATACAAGACTAACAAAGGCCAGAGGCTCCTGACTTGGGATAGGCGCAAAAATGCGGCGGGGTTAAGCATGTTTTGTGAGATCTTAATCCGCCCCGTATACCTCTAGCCAATGTATACGGTTTATGGCTTTGTCTTCATATATTAGTTTCTTGCACAAATATGTTAAACAATAATATATTTTTTTTATAATTTATATTGTGAACTTGAAGTGGACAAACGGTATATATACTTTTACCAGCACTACTATGGTGGACTACTATTCCCTAAGGTGTCATCAGCTCAGTATCAAATGCTTTGGTACTGACATGATTTCTAACATGTCTTTCTAAGTTTGTCGTTGATAAAAGAGACAGAACATACCAAATATTTAAACATCATAATTCGAAGAGAAAGTTGCAAAGACAAACAAGTCCATATAACACTACATAGAAGACTATATACATAGCAATTCGAACAACACCCAAACAACTTGAGGTGTACTCAGGTGTTCCAGAAAAGGGTAAGCAAATCAAACTCTACTAGTGACACCCGTAATGTTGCTTGATGAAAGTAGAAATGTTTTACTGTGATGTCATTCATGTGACTTCATAAAGAGATTATAAGGTTAGTGTTTGCTTATTAACTTAAAAGCTTATATAACGTAAAAAATTGAAAACAACACGTTTAATAATTTCATGCGTCCGAAGCGCTTTTCTGGATTTACCTTCATCAGGAACGCTCAAAGCCAAACATTTGAAATCTGATGATGAATAAGTACCGAAATAGTTGAAGAGCCTAACATAACCACATGCACTGCCACAAATGATTTTTAAGTTGATAGATAAATATAAAAGGACATCATGTGCTCGAAATAACTTTACATTCTAATGCAATTCGTTCGTAACGATAATTTTCATTGGTCGTTGACATATATTTTGAAGGGTTAGATTCTTCGTTGTACCAGTTCGTAACTAAGGAAAGCCACCATTTTGAATTCCGATTTTTTTTTGGAATTTCACAAAAGAAAAAAGAAAAACAAAGTCGCATTTTGGGCATCAAAATCTTCTTTTTGTCAATGTTTAAACCAATTAGAAGCGTACGAAAAGTATTAATACGTCTACAGTTTATACGTGTCAATTACATGCAATAGTCATGATTTGGCAATGTATCTTACTTAAATTTTATTTTATGGTTTTCTACTCAACAAAAGGGGATAGGGTACAGTAAAATTGTAATTTGTTATTAATGTATATTGATTCAGCATTTGATTGTGAAGCTTTGTAGTACATTTGATTTTAGGGAATATTAGATACCAAATCGTACCTTCTCCTTTTCCCGTATCATAACACTAAAATATTTCGATCATACTGAAAAGTCTAGCTTGGTTGAATTGTTATTTATTTTCTCAGAATTTAAAACTGTAACATAATTTATTTTATGGTAACTTGTTTCAAGAATATACATTAACTCCTTCCTGGTCTTTGGCATTATCCAGTAACTGTCTTTGGTAATTGTTATAATGCCTTTCCGACTAAAAATCCAAGAGCCACTACAAAAAATATTAAAAAGTGTCAACAAAAAATCATCAATAATTGATTTAAGACAAATATATTTGAACTTCCATGTGTGTGTAAATCGTAAGTGCAAAAGTCTTTTGTCTGATTGTAATATTGTCGTTTTAATTCTTCTTTCATTTTAAGTTTTTTTTTTATTTCTGTGTTTGTTATACTTTGCTTTATTGTTTGTTGTTTTGTTTTCCGTTTTGTCCAACATTTTAATGACCAAGGAAAACGACACCAAAGATACCCGGCTTATACCCATATGCGCATGAAACTCATCATGTGACCTCGATTCAAAACAGGTGGACCATTTACAGCGTTAGCTAAAAAAAATAGTTTTCAAGATAAATCTAGATTTACGTTGTTATCATCAGTTTTTAAGCAAAAGAGGTTAATTAAACTTGTAATGTTCAATCATAATTTGTAAATTGAATGGATCACAATTACCGTATATGGTTCCTACAATTGTACAAATACAAGTAGAATATAAGTGGAAACCTTTATTTATATTTGAAGATGATTCGACAAATAATAAAAGGTCTCCCATCGTCAAGAATTAATATGGAATATTTATACAAGTCCCCCTCCTAACACATATGTATTTATACATATCAAATATACAACATAGTTTATGCAGCAAGCAACAATAAATACAAATGCTGATTTCTTGCTCAACTTTGTCCAATTAACCTTCAATTGGAGACCAACACACTTGCGAAACTCATGGAATTAAAAGAATTTTATAATTAACTTTTTTGAAAATTTTTGACGTGTCAACGATTAAATTGTTAACGACTTACGTGATGGCAAAGTTGATCCACTCAGGATATTATTCATGAAACCTCGCCCTCTGTATGAATACGGCGTCACATGACGATGATAGTTTACTGTATTGTATGAATGGGGTATTCCGCCATAGGCCGGAAACGCCGAATAAGCACCTCCGAAACCTGGAAAACTGCTGTAAGCACCGCCAATATCACCAAATCCATAACCCCCACGGTAGGATCGAAAGTTGTTAAAACCATACGGCAAAGCAGACGACAGCATGAGTGAAGCGCTCATCACAACAAAAGCAGTGGTAAAATTTTTCAGCATTTTAGCTAAATAGTCAGTGGTTTTACAAAACAAGAAGATATTTTACTTTGGTGTCAAATGATATTTGGAGAGGCTTTATATATCATCTAAACGTTTATTATTCATCAGTTTGTTCCGATTCCGTTTCCGTTTTACATGGACGTCATTCTTAACACTGGACTGGATTTTTGATGTCTCAATTAACCTGAATGACACCGGGTATTACAGCATTATATTCTAATGACATGATTAACTTACTTTAACAAATAGTTACCTGTTGGAATTGTCAAGGGAAATAGATTTTTTATACTGTATATATTGTACACTTTAAAAAGAAACAACAATTAGGTAAACAACACATCTGTCTTGAATTTATTATCATTTTTTTCACGTTCAATTGCTGATTTTACATGTTTACGACATGTATTTGACTGAAGTTAAATCAATGTTCAATGATATCATTGCTTGAATTTCATAAGATCTTCCTAAATATTTTTTTTTTTCATAACAGATCCCTCCCCCCCCCCTCCCCCCCCCCCCCCCCATATTAAAATGATACCAGCAAGCGGGCACAAAACAAATAAAACAACACAATGAACTCAGATATCTATCTCTCAAATGATAATACTGTGTCTTGATTTTAAAATGAAAAGTAAAAAGATTTTGATTTTAATTTCTAACAGCTGGCAATTTTTGGCTTTTCTATAATATTTTCACTTTCAGTTCTATAGATATGAATAGAAAAAATGAAACACAAATTAATCCGTTCTAATCTTACGTAATGAACGTACTAAGCTTCAGGGACTAAGGAACATGTATACGTGAAAGTGTTATGTATATTTCTTTCCCCCCTAGGACTTTCGTCATATATGGATTATGAAACAAAATCTTAATCATAATTTTGAACGTATAATATGCTTTTTTTCAAATACATATCTTAGACAAACTTTACGAGTGTCTTGGGACTGTCCAGGGATAAGTCATAGACTGTTAATCAAATCTGTCCTAAAATAGTATAAATCAGGATGGTCTTAGGATTGTACTTCAGATGTACTTAGGTGAAATTAAAAAAATCTAGAACTTAAAATTGATACTATAAGTCAGAAGAGCATTATTTAAGGGACAATGTAAGCTAAAATATTGAAAGGTGATGGAGCTCCTTTTCGAGATATTTAATTTTTTTTAAATGGCGGGAAAAGGCTGACTCGGACTTTTATCTTATATTTGCATTGGTATTATTTGGGTCCCAAATCGAAAGAAAATATATCTAGAACATGCTTAAATTTGGGTAAATGACCTTTTATGAGCTATTGAAGTCTTATATGAAAAGAAAAATGGGTGTTATGGGGCAAAATATTTTACCTTGTATTGTTGGAAAATAACCAAGGAGTCCGAACATTTGACAAAAATTCCTAAAAACCTCACCTAAGTGCATCCTTAATTATATGTTTGTTCCAGTTTGAATTCATATTTCTAGTCTTCATTAAAGTAAGACAATCATTCTTTTTTGTGGATATTTCGATGTTTTGCTAGTGTCTGCATGTACATTCGTTGTTAACATATTCACCCGAAATTCATGGAATTTTATATACCATGAATAATAATGAATCAACAGGACTATTATATCTCGGACAGTAATAATACGAATTATGATAAAAACACAGAATGAAGACAAGTAATATATGTTGTAAAAAGAGTCCGAAGATATCAAGGGGACATTCAAAACTCGATTGAGTTGACGAAAAACTTAAAACGTGATGGTAAAAAAAAACGAAAATACATTAGATACATGTTAAGACGTGACTTAAGATTGTCTAAGAAATTTACTAAAAATAACTTCAACGGTTCCAATTTTACTGCACCAGCTACGCCTCTTGACAATTAATGTGTCTTCAGTTTGCCCGAGGACAAAACATTTGAAAATCTAAACCTTAGAAACGTTGTAAGGGCTGATAAAACCCAAAAGGACCAAAAATATAGCCAAATGCTGAGGCAATAGTTCAAACAGAGCCAACATAGATTGGTCCTTTCTAAGATATGAACCTCCTATAAGATTGATCCTAGTAAGACCATAGCATGCTAACTAGAATTAATCTATTAAGTATATAGAGATAATTCAGTATTCAGTATAGATACCAGATTTAAGATTGTGTACGCCAAACGCGTGTTTCTTATACAAAAGACTCATCAGTGAAGCCCGAATGAAAAAAACGTTCAAAGGCCAAATAAAGTACAAGGTTGCAGAGCATTGAGGACCCAAAATTCGGAAAGTTTTTGCCAATAGCAGCCAAGGTAATCTATTCCTGGGGTAGAAAATCCTTAGTATTTAAAGCAAGTATCATGAGATGTATATGAAATAAACGTATAAAATTAAGTATACACGTAAAGAGAGTGAATTATCGTACTAACGTTAACTGTACCCGAAAGCCAAAAAAACTTTAAAACAAATAGCAATACGATACATTAATATAAAGGGGCCTCGGTTGCCGAGTGGTCTAAGTAGTCGAACTACTGTATCACTAGCCTGTCAACACTGAGGTTGTGAGTTCGAATCCCGCACGGGGCAGGTGCACTCGACTCCAATCTTAATTGACTAGGATTGTCAGTTTTCCTACCGAAGGTCGATGGTTCTCTCCGGGCCCTCCGGCTTCCTCCACCAATAGAAACTTACCGCCACGAAATAGCACAATAGTGTTGAAAGTGGCGTTAAACACCAATCAATCAATCATTAATATTAAAGTTAACTTAACAAGAACATTTTAATGCGGTACATTGAGGTATGGGGAGATAAATCTTATAGTCAGTATAATGCGTTTGTAATTGTCAGATTCATATTCAATGCTTAGATTTATTTATGTCAAAACTCATTAAAGATACCTAGGCTGGTTCTCTCCCTTGCAACATACGGGTATCTCAGAGACAAACAGATAAAGGACAGGGAACCAGTCTTGAAAGATACCAGGCTTATAATTTGGTACACCAGATGCGTTTCGTCTACATAAGTCTCGTCAGTGGCGCTCGAATAAAATTGTTGGACAGCCAAATAAAATACAAACTTGATAATGTCTGTTTGTTTTGTTCACACATTGTTGTCAATGTAATGGAATTTTATGCGACTGTTATACAAGTGAGAGGTTTAGCTAGCTATAAAACCAGGTTTAATCCACCATTTTCTACATTAGGTAATGCCTGTACCAAGTCAGGAATATGACAGTTGTTTTCCATTCGTTTGATGTGTTTGAGCTTTTGATTTTGCCATTTTATAAGGGACTTTCCTATTTAAATTTTCCTTTGAGTTCGGTATATGTTTTATTTTACTTTTTAATAAGCATTATTCACGAAAATTCCATTTTCGTTTTTTTTTTTTATGCCAAGTACGGCTAAATGAGATCTTACTGGTTTTTGTGGGCTCGTGTAGCTCAGGCTTTAGGATTTTTTGTAGTGATTGTAGACTGTTTTTGTCCTTCGTTGTTTTAAACCGTGTTTTCGGAAGGAAAAAAATTCAATGATTACAATCGTAAAGTACGACGGGCCGCAGGCGACTGTCCATAGATTACGTTTAATAACTTATTAACCTTCAACCAATGCTTTTAAATTTTAATGTGGTGTTACTGATTAAGAAATGAAAGTCAAGTAAGATGTTGTCGCTTTTCACTTTTTACATTTACATGTTCAACGATTGATTGGAAAAAACGCTTTATTTAGTTTCAGTGCAATAATGTATGAACTGTTCAGCCAATGCTTTTCTTCAAATTTTAAAACATGTTGTTATTGATGACATAATGAGGGTCAAGGTTGATATTTGACTATTTTTCTTTTACAGTTCCGGACATATGATTCTTGAGATATTGGGAAATATTCACAGAACGTGGCAGGAAAAAAAATCCTAAAAGAGCCATACATTAGAATACATCTATAAACTCATTATAGATACCAGGATCAATATAATTCATACTATATGCCCTACAAGTTCAATAAGGGCTACCCTCATAATACGGAAAACCCGGATTGCTGTCAATTTCACAGCTCATTTCGGGGCTAAAGGGGGGGGGGACGAGGGTCGGCATAATTTTGTCGTTTTTATGTTGGCTTATGAGTTTTGATTCTCCATTTTGCATCTTCCGCCTCATTTTCAATACTGAGTCAAGAGTGAGGTGGGAAAATTTATAATAAGATAACTTGGTTTTCAACTATTGATATAAGCGATTTTTCAAATTATATTCAAATCCATTTTTCTTCGCCATTTTTAACAACACTACAACATTCAAAATGACCTAAAAACACGAACATTTTTCGAAACACATTTCAGAACTGTATACTGTAATGTCAGACTTATTCTATTTTACATTTAATTATTTTTAAGGGTTATGTTTTTAAAACGTTATGTGTATTTGGTTTCATAGATTAATGTATCCAATCATTCGTGATAAAATTGATACACGTACATGCATATATCAATAGACGCATTCATTAATTCAACTTCCATCCTCCTAAATGACCTCTTATCCAACCAGGCACCAAAATTCCATATGAAACATAGACTTTCCAATAATGCAATAGTTCTTTCTATATGTCCGTTTGTGTAAAAGTAAGACAAAATTGTAAAAAATCGCTTCATTTATTTTTAATCTGTTATATTTTCAAAGAGTTAAGGATGATATTTACCATATCTTTACACTAAAAGCACTGCCACCACATTGAATCGACAAGTTAGGTTAGAAAATGATTTATTTTCTTAAAAAACGGTTGACCATATTATGCTTATTAGAATTAATATATATAGAGAAGAGAATACAATATATTAATCATATTCTAAGTTCGGAACTATTCAGCCAATGCTTTTCAAATTTTAACATGATGGTACTGATGACAAAGTGGAGGTCAAGGATGATATTGACCATTTTTCTTTCACTGTTCATGACATATGATCCTTGATACATTGGAAACTATGCACATAACGTGGCAGGTCAACAACAACCCAAAAGAGCCATACATTAAAATACATCAATAAACTCATTATAGATACCAGGATCAATGTTATTCTTACTATCTGCCCTAAAAGTTCAACAATGGCTCCCTTTTAACTACAGAAAAACCGGTTTGCTGTCAATTTCACTGCTCATTTTTTGTTTCTTTTTTTTTTGGCATGATTTTGTCGGTTTTTTTTTCCTTTTTTATTCTCTCTTTGCTATCTTCCATCTCATTTTCAATAGTCAATTTCAAGAGTGATGTGAGAAAATTCAAATTAAGATGACTTGGTAGTCACAAATTGAAACCCATGAGGATTTTTCAAATTATAGAAAAGTCTATTTTTTCGTCTTTTTTTAACAATCATACAAAATTTTTAATGACCTAGAAACACGAACATACTTTCTACATTTGGACGTTATGTAAATATAACGTTTGTGGGATATAGCTATATGTACGTTGATGTTATAAGTATACTTGTAAATATAACGTTTGTGGGATATAGCTATATGTACATTGATGTTATAAGTATACTTGTGAATATAACGTTTGTGGGATATAGCTTTATGTACGTTGATGTTATAAGTATATTTGTAAATATAACGTTTGTGGGATATAGCTATATGTACGTTGATGTCATAAGTATATTTGTAAATATAACGTTTGTGGGATATAGCTTTATGTATGTTGATGTTATAAGTATATTTGTAAATATAACGTTTGTGGGATATAGCTATATGTACGTTGATGTTATAAGTATACTTGTAAATATAACGTTTGTGGGATATAGCTTTATGTACGTTGATGTTATAAGTATACTTGAACTTGTGGTTCTTTATTGAGAACTAATAAAGGAAGGATTGAATGAAAGTGTTGATATGTGATAAGAGCCACTATACATATGGCCCCTGAAATTGTACAAATAGTAAAAAAATTCAATCGTTACAAAATTGTCAATATGGGGAAATAAATCGATATATTAATGTATATTCTGGTCACGACACTCATTATTTTGACGTGAAAAAAGTTAATATTCCAATTTGTCTAGAACGGCAACTTTTATGTAACATCAAATAGGACCTAAAGAGTGACATAAAAAGAATGTGACTCATATGTTACATAGTGTTGTAAACAATTTTCACTTTTAACTTTTTAATTTCGTATGTATTTGTTGATTTCAAAATGTAGTATGTGCTTTTGCAGCTTTGTCACTGGAATTTAATGGAGAGGCGAAAGATATTCAAACTCATATGTTGTAAACAAACTGACAATGCCATGGTAAAAAACGAAAAACGACAAAAAGACACACAAGTGTACACAAAATACAACATAGAAAACTAATGACGGAGCAACACAAACCCAAATGTGTGGGTGATCTTAGATGCTTCGAAAAGGTAAGCAGATCACTTCCCACATGTAGCGCCCGTCGTGTTGCTCATATGAATACAAACCTGGTCATAAGTATAACTCGGTAGGTCACATTCGATGGTAAGCGACAGGATTGTGGTTACAACAATTGGAACATAATCTAAGAGGGCTCGGGAATTAGAATTGATTAGTTATAACAGGAAACAAGTATAAAAACAATGTTTTAAGCATGATTTCTAGTCGGATAAATATACGTTTGAAAGAAGATATCTTTGGGATCAACATGCTTCAAAACTGTAGAGAAAAAGATCAATATTGACAATACCTTCGCAGTTCCAGTTCTTTGATAATGAAGACAGCGACTCATTTATTAAAAAACTTACGAGTAAAAGTTATGACATTTCAGTATAACTTACGATCAATTTAAGATGCATGATTTTTTGTGAAAAAAGCTCCATATGTTTGCGGCTAGCTGGATCTTTTATTGCATACTTTTAATGTAGAAATAGACTAAGGCTTTTTTTTTAATCATTTATAGTTCCAACACCAGCAGTTTATGCAGTGGCTTAAAAATAGATTTTTGACAAGAGTTTCCAAAATAATAAATTGACAAGCGTGAATTTAGAATGTTTAAATCTTTTCATACTTTAACCTTTTACTTTGTGTTAATTGTTACCTGCTGCTTAGTTAAATATGCTATTACTGGTAATCACATGACCAATCGGTCATTTCAAACGGTAAGTATCGTACATAGTATCATACACACATGAATCATTAATAGTAATGCTAAATTTTATTTTGATTTGCTTTTTAAGTTATAAGTATCTAAAGAAAATGAAGCACATTGCATTGCTATGTATTGTTTACTACAAAACAACACAAAATGAACACTTATATACCATATATCAGGACAACAAAACATATAATTGACTTTAAGGATGTTCGCTACTCTGTTTCAAAATAACAAGCTTTCTAAAAGACTGTTATAGATTGGTATTATATAAATAAAGGAACTCAAAAAGCAGAAAAAAATGAAGGATACGTGTGCTTGTTTTCGAGATATAAGCCATTGAAAATTTTGCGGGAAATGATTCTCTCTACATTTTTCATACATTCAACAATGGTACCTTTTTCATTCAAAAACTATGAAAAAATAACAAGGATTTTATAAGATTTTCAAAGATAGCATTTTAAACTACATGTAATCAAATTATGGGGAAAAAGTTGGGGTTAGTGGGCAAAAAATTTTAATGGCACTACATAGATAAAACTAGAGGATTTCTAATATCTGGCAAAAATTCAAAAACTAGAAGAGCGTTCATCCTTAAAACATAAATCATGCCGTTAGTTTCCTCGTTTGAATTGTTTTACGTTGGTCGTATGGAGGCCTTATACATCTTGCCATGCGGTGTGGGTTTTGCTAATTCTTGAAGGCCGTACGATGACCTATAGTGATTTACTTCTACGTCATGTGGTCTTTTGGGGAGGTTTGTTTTATTGGCAATCATACCTCGTCCTCTTTTTTTTATATTTAGCCCTTTTTTTTTCATTTTTCTTCAAGGTTTGTTTTTACTTATTCAATTATTTCGTATTATTCTGTCTTCTAAGGTTTTTTTATTTTACCTAATAACGTAATACGAAATAATTGAATAAGTAAAAAAATCTTGAAGAAATAAACAAAACAATGTTTCATGTCGAGTTTTAATCTTATTTCAAAAAAGTAATGTTTTAATGTGTTATGTATATTTGGTTTATGTATCCGACCATTTATGGTGAAATTGATATATATACATGCGCAACAAAATTGATGAATTCATTAATTCAACTTCCGTCTTCAAAATTACTTCAAGACCAACCAGACCCCTTGTCTCCTGTTAACAAATGACTGTCCCATAATGCAACAGTTCTTTTTATTTGTTCATTTGTGCAAAAGTAAGATAAGAGTGTCGTATTTTCTCACTAAAACATTACCACCATGTACACTAAATCGACTTTTAACGTTAAACAACGATTTAGTTTCTTAAAAAAGATGCAAAATATGCCAAGGGGACATTCAAACTGATACATTAAAGAAAAACTTACAGAGCCATAGCAAAAAACGAAAAGATGATTAGACCTCAAAACACTACATAGGAAACTGAAGATTGATTTACACCATTATTTAATTCATAGCATTTTTTTTATTTACAACTTCTACTTTATAAATATAAAAAACGTCTTCTAGTCTTTGGCAATATCCAGTAACTGTCTTTGGTATCTCTAGATCTCATAATGCCTTTCCAACTAAGAATCCTAGAGCCACTACAAAACAAAAACAGTTTTAACAGTTATATACCATTATCTAAAAGTCAACAAAATATCTTCTATAATTGACTAAACAATTTTAATCTAAATCCATGTGTATGCAAAATCAAAAGTAAAACAATCTGTTGTCTTTTTCTATTTTTGTCTTTTCTGTTTTGTTTGTTGGCTGAATTCCTTTTTTTTTTAATTGTTCTTTTTTATAGCATTTATTTAAACAGTGAATTCCAGGAGTGGTGTTGGATTTCAACAAACCTTTAAAATCCGATACTTTTGTTAACATTGAAGAAATGGGTAACTTTTCAAACAATAATAAAATTCTTTCTAAGGCATTCCTTTTTTGTGTCTTTTCCAAAATGCTTCACACATTCTTTACCACCAATAACACTTTTTTTCATTTACAGCGCTATGTTGGATGTAGCTATATTTATGTTAGCGTTAAATACGGGTTCATGTGCTTGAATTTGTGATGTTTAATTCGAAGTTTACAATTGCGTGTTTCATATTTTTGGGTTTTCGCGTTCTAGACGAAGTTAAACCCAGAAAAGCCCTTCAGATGCACGAGATTTGAAACGTTCTATTCTTATTAAAATCGACGGATTGAATGGCAATGTATGATAAAAGCCATTATATGTAAAGTTATTTAAAGTTTTCATAATCATGAAAATTATGTCAATTCTACATGTTTTACCTCCGATAATTATCAAATATAAGTCGATTTTATGAAAATATTTTAAAGCATCAAATATGAGCAAACGACCAAAACGAAAAAAAATCATTGAGACAAAATATCGTGTAGACTGATTGTCTGTTTACCAATTCCTAATTTGGTTCTGTAATTACGCCCTTTAAATACAGCTTGTTTATCTTCGTCATTTGTTGACTGGTTCTATAGCGGACCAATTTGGCTGCTGCTTATGCAAAGTATTATAAATTAAAAGTGGTTTATAGACGTTCTAAGCACTTACAAAATAACTATTTATCATGTTGATATCAAAAGCTTTAAATTTAACAAAAGATTAAAGGGAATGAACAAATTTCAGAAACGTAAAGATTGTACACATTACGCACTGATTAATTTGGCATTTCCGCTAGATCTTCATTGTCAAATTTAAATTTAAAAGTTTTAATTTTTTTAAACAGCAATCAATAATTGATACTAAGATTGTTTTCTTGCGCAATGTTCCCCCTAAACCTTACCCACTTTCCATTGCAAACTTGCATGTTTTTATTTACTAACGGAACGAAAAGAACTTTTTGTAGAAGGTTTTAGCTTTTGGTTGGTATCTTTTTTTATCCTTCACATGCCTTTTATAAAATCTGATAATTACTCACTTGAAGGTAATGTTGACCCACTAAGAAAGTTATTCAGGAAACCTCTTCCTCTGTATGTGTACGGCGTTACATGACGGTGGTAATTTACTGTATTGTATGGATGTTGTATTCCACCATAGGACGGAAAAGCCGAATAAGCACCGCCAAAACCTGGAAATCTGCTATAGGTGCCTCCAATATCACCAAATCCATAGCCACCACGATAGGATGATCGGAAGTTAGGAAAGCCATATGGTAAAGCAGACGACAGCACGAGTGAAGCGCTCAGTACAACAAAGGCAGTGGTAAAATTAGTCCACATGTTAGCGAAATAGTCAGTGGTTTGTTAAAAAAGAGAAGATATCTAACTTTGATGGCAATAAACATTTTGAAAGGCTTTATATATCATCTAAACGTATGTTATTCATCACTATATTTCCGATTCCGTTATTGTGTAAACGGTCGATATATACCACAGTACTTGAATTTGATGTCTCAATTAACACAAATGACACCGGGTATGACAACTTTATAGCTTAAGGCATACACAATAATTTTTATCATATATGTAACTATTGGATATTTTCAATGGACAAATATGTTGATTAATTAATAATTTTTACTGAATTTAAACAGGTGAGAACAAAGTACGAAGATTTATTCTAAGTTTGACTGTTAACAATACAAATTCAAACGGAGAAAATACTAATCCGTTCTGGCTCTGCGTCATAAATGTTAATAAGTTTTAGGGTATTTCGTGCATATGTGTGACAGTGTTATGTATATCTATTTCCCATACATTGTATGACTGTGGTCATATACGGAAGTGAAGCAAATTATGGGAAATGAATTGACTAATCGTGGATTTCTGTCGCCCAGGTTCGTTTTTTTCCATTTTAAATATTCAATATATAACACGGGAGGGACTATTCTTGGTAGATATTTGTAGTGTGTGATTATGTAAAATGTACCGATTATTTCCAGTGTATATATATATATATATATACGTTGGTTTGGATGAGATCTACTATTCTGTATCTATTTATTTTTTATTCTCTTTCATGTCATTATTCTAAATTCATTAACTTTCTTTTCTTTATCTTATGTAACCATTAAATGCCGATTCATTATTTATTATTCTTATACATGGTTTTTTTGTGATCAGTTTACCCCCACCCAAGCCATCTGCTACAACCTTAGTTCTTAGATAACAAAATAGCAATTTACGACCAGGCCAATAGATAAAACGACTAGAGAGTAGGTTTAATTTTTCAAATTAATTGTTTCTAAGGTTAACATACAATTGCTGGGGGTTAAGGATTTCCGAGGGCGGGGGGATGGACCATTTCTGTTCAACCATAGGTCAATCATTTTCCGTGGGATGGATCATTGGTTTCATTTTCATGTCCTGAGTGAGATAAATTTTATATTTGAAACAATTTAGTTTAATATTTTAAATTTAAAAGGGTGAACTGTTTACTAGCCCAGTAGCCAGTACTTCGTTACTGGCATGAAAACACGGATTTTGTGTTCTTAAAATTTGCTGTTACAAAATTTTGAAAATTATTTAAAATTAAGGAATGTATCTCCCTCATGCAAAGCTTTGATTCCTTGCCCGGCTTTGGCTTTACTTTTTTGTCCCTTTTGGTTTATAGCTCTTCATCTTTTTAATAAGCTTTGGATTTTCAAATATTTAGGCCTCGAGCATCACTGAAGAGACATTTATTGTCGAAATGCGCATCTGGTGCAGAAAAATTGGTACTGTTTATGTTATTGCTACCACTGGGCCAATGCCTCTGCTGGTAGACTGATAGTCCCCGAGGGTATCACTAGCCCAATAGCCAGTACTTCGTTACTGGCATGAAAACACGGATTTTGTGTTATTAAAATTTGCTGTTACATAATTTTGAAAATTATTTAAAATTAAGGAATGTATCTCCCTCATTCAAAGCTCTGATTCCTTGCCCGGCTTTGGCTTTACTTTTTTGTCTCTTTTGGTTTATAGCTCTTCATCTTTTTAATAAGCTTTGGATTTTCAAATATTTAGGCCTCGAGCATCACTGAAGAGACATTTATTGTCGAAATGCGCATCTGGTGCAGAAAAATTGGTACCGTTTATGTTATTGCTACCACTGGGTAAATGCCTCTACTGGTGGACTGATAGTCCCCGAGGGTATCACTAGCCCAGTAGCCAGTACTTCGTTACTGGTATGAAAACACGGATTTTGTGTTATTAAAATTTGCTGTTACAAAATTTTAATATTATTTAAGTTAAGGAATGTATCTCCCTCATTCAAAGCTCTGATTCCTTGCCCGGCTTTGGCTTTACTTTTTTGTCCCTTTTGGTTTATAGCTCTTCATCTTTTTAATAAGCTTTGGATTTTCAAATATTTTGGTCTCGAGCATCACTGAAGAGACATTTATTGTCGAAATGCGCATCTGGTGCAGAAAAATTGGTACCGTTTATGTTATTACACATCTTTCTTTTTTTTAAATATTATTATTATTTTTTATATGGTTCGAAAGCGCGATTTGAAACAATGTCGCAGTGTATTTTTTATTGAATTCTGAAAGTTTCAAGTTCTACAGAATGAGGCATTCCCCCTTTAAAAACACACACAAAAAACAAAAACAAAAACAAAAACAAAAACAAAAACAAAAACAAAAAACAAAAACATTTGTCACTAACATGATGGTTCATTTTTCATTAAAATAAGATTTCCTGTATTCAAATATACAAATACACAAAACTGATCAAAGAGCAATAACAAGGGGAATTACCATATATACCTTTTATGGTATTTTTCTGATCATGTGATTACAAGATAAAGTTATGCGATTAAAATGCCTATTGTTTAAAAAATCACTGATAGTTGTCATCTAAAGCGGAAGATACCAAAGGTTCTTATTTGTTTATAAAACCTATATTTAGATATAAATAACGTAATGAAAATCCTTGAACGTTATACGATTGAACACATATTTACGAAGTTTATAATTCTGTAAACTGCACCAATTCACTCATCAATTATTAATTGTCTAAAGTTTCATTATTGTTCTAGGGGGAGCTGAGATAACATGGTGTATTTTTATTTTTATTATATAAATCAAATATAAACAGCAATAACTGTCTTTTCTTAGATTTAGATGTTTCAGTTTTACACGGGAAACTGTACACAAAGATTTACGTCAGAAAGGACGATTTTCAGTTCCCTGTTGTTAAATGTTCCTTTTTTGGACAGAGATGTTTCATGGTACAATCTTACGGTTTTTTTTTTATCCAAACTCGTTCGTTAAGTCCGTGTCTATAATGACGTTTTATTTTCAATGAACGTAATCTATGCATTACTGGTAAATTTATATGTCAAGGATTTCGTATACGCGAATTACATAAAACCTCTACTAAATTCTTTAAAAGATACAAAGATTTCGTTTGGAAGGTTGGCTGTACCTGTAGAAAACTTCTTACAAACGGAATGGCACATTCAAATGTTTATGGTGAAGTTGATTACTGAGCCCGTAAATTTAGATACTATTCTGGTAATCAAATCGATCTTTTAAATAAACTTATTCTAAAAGGTTACCAATCTGTAGTTAGATCTTTAAATATTGTTTTTTCGATATAAATTTAGATTTTGTTATCAATAAATTAAAACCCATACTAAATATTATTGAGATACACCTATGAACATTCACAGTCCTACACTCTGTCGATAACTATGTTTTGGCGTATGTATAGGGAAGGGTTTTGCGGTCACAAACATGTTTTCGTATGTATACGAAATTAATATTTAGTTGTTTTTCTCTGACTGTAAATGACGTCTTTACACTAAATACATTGGACGTTTGATGTGTGCTGATTAATATTTTATTCTAAGATACATGATTGTTTTTATTATTTGCTATTGTGTTTGGACTAGCTTTCGGTAGCTGCGAGTACTCTCGGGTCTGTTCTTGGGTCTTTAGTGTTTTTGTTAGTTGTTTTTTTGTTTTGTATCAATCTGATGAGTTAAGCCCTTTTCAACTGTTTTTGATAATTTGTTCTTATGTAATGCTGTTACACCACTTTTCTATGTAAGGATAGGGTGGAAGCCGCAAACATATTTTTATACCGCCAGTTTATGTATGTGTCTGTCCCAAGTCATGAGCCTGAAATTCAGTGAATGTCGTTTGTTGCTGTATATGATATTTGTTTTTCGTTTATTTATTTGTTTATGATTCAGGTAGTTGTCTCGTTTGAATTGTTTTACATTTGTCATTTAGGGGCCTTTTCTAGCTTGCTATGCGGTATTTCGCTAATTGTTGAAGGCCTTACTTAATTGTTGTTGTTAATGATTACGTCACTTGGTCTTTGTTGGAGAGTTGTCTCATTGGCTATCATACCACATCTCTTATTTTTATATTTAGTCTTTTATTTGTGTTAACTGCTACCTGCTGCTTAGACATCTGAGATCAGTAGCCTAGAGACAAACTGATCATTTTAAACGGTCAGTATCGTATACACAAACGAGTCATTAATCATCGCAAGATCAAACGGGGTCCAAAAGTTGTCAACTTCTACGTCAGTTGGTCTTTAGTAGAGAGTTGTCTCATTGACATTCATATCGCATCCTCTTATTTTTAATTTAACATTTTACTTTGTGTTAATTGCTACATGCAGCTTGGACAAATCTGAGATAACTATTAATCTGAGGACAAATCGGTCATTTCAAACGACCAGTATCGTATACACAGACGAATCATTAATAATTTTAAGATTAAACACCAAATATAAGTTTGCTGGTTACATGTAATCTCCATTGTTTTTGGTTCATTTTCTTCTTGTTTTCTACTTATTCAATTATTTCTTATTATTTTGTTTTCGTATGGCTTTTTGTTTTGCTTTGGTTGTTTCTTTCTGTTTTTGTTTTTTTTTTTTTTCGTTCTGACTTCTTTTTCTTTTTCAATCTTGCTATTTAAATAGTAACAAAAGAAGTTTCCATCAGTAAACAAATCTCATTGCAATTGTATTGTTATATCAGACTTTTTCTATGTTTCTTATCATTAAGTGTAATCATATTTTGAAAAGGGTTCTGTGTATTTGGTTTCATAGAACTATGTATCTCATCATTCCTGATGAAATGTACATGCGTATCAAAATAGATGCATTCATTAATTCAACTTCCGTACTCGTAAACGACTTCTAGACCAACCAGACCATCCCCCCCTTTTTTTTCCCCCGTCCCATGGTAATCAGTGACTTTCCCATAAACAAGTTCTTTTAATTTGCCCATTTGTGCCAAAGTGAGACCGGATTGTCTGATATATATATGCTTGATCATTTTGTATCTGTAATATTTTTATATTTGGATGCTCTTTTTCGTATTTCCACACTAAATAAAGGCAACAGTAGTATACCGATGTTCAATCGTCATAAATCGATTAAGCTAAAACAAATCCGGGTCACAAACCAAAACAGAGGGAAGCACATCAACTATAAGAGGAAAACAACGGAACAACAGAAACACTGAACTGTATTATTCCCACGACACTGAATCGAATATCAAGGTTGAATAATGATTTACTTCTTTAAAAAAAATGCGGAAGTTGCTTACAACGCCATGGCAAAACGAAATCTACGAAAAGACGATCAAGTTCACAAAACACTTTATAGAAATCTAAAAGAGAGGCGAGAGATACCAAAAGGATATTCAAACTCTTAGTCAAAAACAAACAGACGATGGCATGGCAAAAAACAAAAACCGACTAAAAAACCAAAAGAACACAAAACACCAAAGTTTTGATTGATTTACACCATCATCTAATTGATAGAAATTTTTATTTCACAACTTCTAGTTTATAAATATACAAAAAAAGTCATCTATTCTTTGGCAATATCCAGTAAATGTGTTGAGTATCTTTCATAAGGCCTTTCCAACTAAAAATCCGAGAGCCACTAAAAAATAAGAAAAATATTAACAATTATATACCATAATCTTAAAAACATCAAAGCATATTCTATAAATGATATCAAAAATTAAAGCTAAAACAGGTTTACGGAAATCGAAAATATGAAATATGTTGTCCGACTTTATTTTTTGTCGTTTCCTTTCTATTTTTAAGTTGTTGTTATTTGTTGGTTATTATCCTTGTGGTTGTTTGTATGTTTTTATTTTTGTTGTATGACATTTATTTCAAACTGTGAGTTTAGGAGTGGTGTTGGATTTCAACAAGCATTTAAAATTAGATACTTCTGAGGTAAAATAAAAGAACGATATAGTTTTTTAAACAATAGTAAAATTCATTCTACGGCATTTTGTTTTCTTTTGCTTAATTCTTCACACACATTGAAACTCGACTTTTTTTTCATTTACAGCGCTATAGTGGATGTAGCTATATTTATGTTAGTGTTAAAAACAGGTTTATGTGCTTGAATTTGTGATGTTAAATTCAAAGTATACATTTACGGCGCTTTAGTAGATGTTGCTATATTTATATTAGTGTTAAAACAGGTGTATGTGCTTGAATTTGTGATGTTAAATTCAAAGTATACATTCATAGCTTTCAAAGGTTCGGGTTTTATCGTTCTTGTTGAAGATAATTCCAGAAAAGATCTTCGGACGCCCAGCATTTAAAAAGTTTTATTTTCATTTATATACAAAGGATTGACAGGCGATGTATGATGAAAGCTGTATATGATTATTAAGATTTTTGAATTATTTAAACCTTTCAAAATTATCATTTTAAGACGATATTATGTTTACTTTTTTAGCATCAAGTATGAGAAAATGACTTAGGGAAAAAAATTACATGAAACAAAATATCGTAGTAGGTAAGTTTGTGGCTCTTATTATATATATAGATTGTTTTGTCTCAAAATGAAGCAACTTCGACAGTGTTTTGCTTAACTCAAGGTGTTAGTTGGCTTAAAGCAAATATGTAACATAAATATTAAATACATTGTGAATTCCTATGTTTCTTGGGTACCAATTTTCGTGGATTCAGGAAGAATTGTACTTTCGTGGATATTTGAATTCGTGTTTGACGGTCTGGAATGGAAGGGTCTCCATTTTTGACTTCTTGATTTATTTTAGGCCATCTTTCTATCTTTTTTTTAATTTGTTGCCAAGTATTATTTATTCATGATATTTTAGCACGCCATTATTATCTAATCTTTACATTTTTTTCTATTCTTTAGTTTATTGGACCTTTATTCTCTATTTTAACCCCATTGTTCTCTATTCTATAAATCCCATCCAGATCTACATATATTATACCGATACTTGACGTTTATTACTTTGTGATTTTCCATTTCATGCGACCAAGAAAAAGGCCTTTTCAATCAACTTTAAGTTAATTTATAGTTTCAGTTTGACATTACGAGGCCCTTTCATTCAAATTTACTGTTAATTTTACATTTGTATACCTAAAAACTATGAAAGTTGTTCGAACAAGACTGATGATATGCTTAAAGTTTTGTACTGTTTATACACCAATCAATCATATGTAAAATTGCTGCTTTCTTCCTCAATATGTCGCAACATCTTTGTCATTGTAGGCTAAAATATTTTCCTATATTAAAGGAATGAAAAAAACATTTGAGCTTTGGGTGGTATTTTTTCAAATCCTTGACATGCCATTCATAAAATTGTTAGTTACTTACTTGAAGGTAATGTTGACCCACTAAGGAAGTTATTCAGGAAACCTCTACCTCCGTATGAGTAAGGCGTTACATGACGGTGGTAATTTACTGTATTGTATGGATGTTGGATTCTGCCATAGGACGGGAAAGCCGAATAAGCACCTCCAAAACCTGGAAATCTGCTGTAGGTTCCGCCAATATCACCAAATCCATAACCACCACGGTAGGATGATCGGAAGTTAGGAAAGCCATACGGGAAAGCAGACGACAGCATTAGTGAAGCGCTCAGCACAACACACACAGTGGTAAAATTTGTCAACATGTTAGCCAATAAAACAGTGGTCTGTTAAATGGAAAAGATATTTAACTTTGGTGTCATTTGATGTTTCGATAGGCTTTATATATCATCTACAAGTTTATTATTCATCACTATGTTCCGATTCACGCTTTCCGTGTACATGGACGTCATTTACCACAATACTGGATAGATGACGTCTCAATTAACCCAAATGACATCGGGTATTACAGCATTTTATCTTAAGCCATGCGTAACGTTGAATAAATACAGCTCTTGTTTTTTGTTGAAGAAAAGCATGATGATTTATAATTAATTTGTACTTTATTCACACAGGTGCCATAATGATTATAGTAGGAAGATCTATTCTATATTTGACTGCTATAAAAATGATTCTAGAATTGAATAAATCAAACGAAGAAAATATTAATCGGTTCGTGCATGTAAATAAGCTTTAGGGTATTTCGTACATATATGTGACAGTGTTATGTATATTTAGTTCCCATACATACATGTAGTATAACTGCGGTCATATACGGAATGAGAAACAGTTGACGGAAATGGAATTGACTAATCGTAGATTTCTAAATACCAGGTTCCTTCGTTCTATTTTATATATTCAATATATAACACGGAAGGGAGTATTCATGTAAAATGTCCCATTCCTAGTGTATATACATAAGCGGATTTGGGTGGAGTCTTCTATTCTGTTTCTATTGATTCTTAAATTCTCTTTCAGGTCATTATTCTAAATTCTTTAATTTTCTTTGCTTTATCTTCGTTAAACATTAATTGTTACCAGTATTTTATTTAATGCATGTTTGTCATTAATTTACCCAACCCAGACCATCTGCTACAACCGTTGTTCTTAAATAAGAAAATAGCAATTTACCGATAGGCCAATAGATATAGCTAGTTGAAAGTAGATTTAATTTTTCAATATCATAGTCTCCTAAAGTTTACTCTAATATGATTGGGTTTCCATCATCACATTGTATATTTTTTTATTCTGGTGTCCAAAGTACGATACATTTTATTTTTGAGATAATTTTATTTCTATATTTCCATTTTAAACGTGAACCATTTTCACATATTTTTCAGAAAATGTGTCATCCATGAACTTTAAATTGTTATTTTTATTTCAGTTTATACAGACAGGCATCAGCAGTCCCCCCTTTTTTTTGCCCGGCTTGACCTTGCTATTAAGAAGATAAAGGTATGCAATTAAAGTGCTTGTTGTGAACTTAATCACTGATTAGTGTTATCTAAAAAACAGGCGGAAAGTACCAAGTATAACACTGATTTTAGAAGGAAAATATAGATACCGCTTATTTTTCATAGATTTTATTTTTTAATATATTTTTATATTAATGTTACTTATAATCATTTTATTATTAATAGGACATTAAAACCACGAAAGTTTGCAGGTTTCATCATAAGAAATAACACAATGCTTACACATAAAGTTACAATAATAATGAATTCAGAACTTTTATACTTATGCATGTGTAGAGTCTTCTTTTACCTAGTAAGCGGCCATCATCAGGGTTGAGTATTCTGCCACATGTGTTTAGAAATTCAATAAATAATAAAATGCTTCGCTGAGCGCAGCCTGATACGACCGCAGTGGTCGAACCCTGAACAGTTGGGGCAAATTTGGACACAATATTCAAGCTTGATACTATCTGAATTTGGATTGTGATCAAATTTTTGACATAATATAGGTTTCTGACACAAAATAAATGTGGTCAAAGATCTTACAAATCTAATGCACAATACTGTGCAATTGAAGATTTCTTCTTGAAACTTTTGAAAAATTTGAAAAAAAATATATGAACCCTTTTAAAAAAAAATGGAAACCCCACTTCCCCAAAAAAATTTTGAATCCCCCTTTTAGCATTAACCATCAAACTCAATTGAAGTCTTTCCTTTGTAGTATGGAACCTTGTAGTACAATTTTAGAGAGATCCATACACTTAATCACAAGTTACTGTCTGGAAACTAGAAAGATGCTTTTTTTAACCATAAAACCCCATTTAAATACATCATAAGAGTATTAAAATAGAAAAAGACATCATAGTCATGGCTAAAATTAAAAAACCTTCATCAACAACTTTTAATAGTAATATCTAAAAATAAAATTCCTTCATCAGCATTTTAAAGTAACTTCTAAAAATAAATTGACAGCTAGGACTTAAAAAACCCAGGGGCCCAAATAACATCGAAATAATTCATATGAGATAAATTGACCTATGGCCCAAAATAAAAAAACAAATTAAAAAAGAACAGCACAATGTGTTTTATAGCTACAATAATGACAAAAACCTAATTTATATTATAAATTTTACGAGACCAAAGGGTCAACATCTAAATGTTGGACACTAAAATCTAAGCAAATCCAACCAAATAAATAAGTCATCAAAGATACCAGGATTATAACTTTGGTACGCCAGACACGTGTTTCGTCTACAAGAGTCATCAATGGCTCTCGAAATAAAATTTCAAATCAAGTACAAAATTGAAGAGCACTAAGAATTCCGAAAGGTTTTGCCAAATACAGCCGTGGTAATCTGATCTTGGGTAAGAAAATCATTAGTCTTTCGAACTATTAAAAGTTTTGTCAACAGTTGACTGTTAAATATTACAAAAGCATGATATTTCATATCAAAACAGTGATTTACAGTCACCGCATTATCGTGGCAGGCGTTCCCACGTTCTAAATCTGCGAAAATAAAAATTCACGAATTTCAATTTATAAAAAAAATCAACGCAGTGTTTATAATAATAAAAAAAAATGTGTTAGAATGGACGTCAAAATAATATTATATGAATGAAAGGAAATGTGCATTTCACTTCAAAGATCTTCAAAGAGAAAACAAACCAAACAATACAAAAAACTAAGCCTTTAAATGTTGAAATAAACGGTCTTCAACAATATAAATGTGTCCAAAATAAACCAAAGCATCTTAATGTTAACATTTACGACATGCAATAATGTGCATGTGTCCAAACAAACAAAAAACACCTTAAGGTTGACATATACAGCCTTCAACAATATGCATGTTCAAACAAAACCCAATGTATCTTGAGGTTAACATATACGACCTTTAACAATATAAATGTGTAAAAAATAAAAAAAAAAAAGCCTCTTAATGTTAACATATTCGGCCTTCAACAATATACATATGTCCGAACAAAATCCAAAGCATCTTCAGGTTAATGTAAATGGCCTTAAACGATATTCATGTGTCCAAACAAAAACCAAAGCATCTCAAGGTTAACATGTACAGCCTTCAACAATATGCATGTTCAAACACCCGATAGTTGTTATCTACGTCATTTTGTTTCATTGGTATTTATACCGCATCTTGATATTTCTATACCGGTTAATATATACGGCCTTCAACAATATGCATGTATCCAAACAAAAACGGTTAAAATATACGGCCTTTAACAATATACATGTCTTCGTGTGTCTATTTTTTTGGAAGTTGACCCTTTGGTCTTATAAAAATATATAAAATAAGCCAATTTATCTCATTTTATTGTAGTAATGTACACATGGTGTTGTTCTTTTTGAATTAATGTTATATATTGGTCCATAGATCAATCTATCTTATATTAATAAAATACTATACTGGCCGTCCTATTTTACATTTGATCAGCCTGAGACATCAATTATACGCTATCATAATATCATACTACCAATAGATACTCAAATACCATAAACATCAGCACAGAAATATAATTCAATCGTAAATGACGCTAAAGTAGATATCAAGAATTCGTATAGGGCTCCGCGGGGCTAGGATGAAATTTGAAAAAAATAGACAGGACAGGAGTTTTGAGTAAAAAAAAAAGGCAGGATGAGACGCTTTGCAAAAAAAAAAGGCAGGATGACAATTTATGTAAAAAAGTCAGGATAAACTAAAAAAAAAATGCAGGACCGAATAGAGTGAAAAATAAAAAGGCAGGACAGAGATTACAACTAAAAAAATATGCAGGACAAAATTTTTCATCCTAGCCCCCCATAAAAATCGAATGGCAGCTCCCTTACAAGAGTGCACTGGTTCCTGGAAGTTTGGTAGTACAAAAACAGGTCGTTATGATCTAAACAAACCTTTTATTGCATACAAGAGTGCACTGGTTCCTGGAAGTTTGGTATTACAAAAACAGGTAGTTATGATCTAAACAAACCTTTTATTGCATACTAGAGTGCACTGGTTCCTGGAAGTTTGGTAGTACAAAAACAGGTAGTTCTGATCTAAGGGAGCTACCATTTGATTTTTATGGGGGGGGGGGGGGGGGGGCTAGGATGAAATTTGAAAAAAAAAAGGCACGACAGGAGTTTTGAGTAAAAAAAAAAGGCAGGATGAGCAACTTGGCAAAAAAAAAGGCAGGATGACAATTTATGTAAAAAAAGTCAGGATAAACTAATAAAAATAAAGGCAGGACCGAATAGAGTGAAAAATAAAAGGCAGGACAGAGATTACAACTAAAAAAAAATGCAGGACAAAATTTTTCATCCTAGCCCCCCCCATAAAAATCAAATGGTAGCTCCCTAAACAAACCTTTTATTGCATACAAGAGTGCAATGGTTCCTGGAAGTTTGGTAGTACAAAAACAGGTAGTTATGATCTAAACATACCTTTTATTGCATACTAGAGTGCACTGGTTCCTGGAAGTTTGGTAGTACAAAAACAGGTAATGATCTAAACAAACCTTTTATTGCATACTAGAGTGCACTGGTTCCTGGAAGTTTGGTAGTACAAAAACAGGTAGTTATGATCTAAACATACCTTTTATTGCATACTAGAGTGGACTGGTTCCTGGAAGTTTGGTAGTACAAAAACAGGTAGTTATGATCTAAACAAACCTTTTATTGCATACTAGAGTGCACTGGTTCCTGGAAGTTTGGTAGAACAAAAACAGGTTGTTATGTTCTAAACAATGGGCAAATTATGCCAACCTATTTCAATTTCATATTTTTTTGGTATTCAAAGGAAACTTTCAATAAGGGGGTTCTGCAGTGATCCCAAGTCCTAAAGCTTTCAATTGATAACAAAATTACCCACATATTTTACTTATTTACAAAGAAATGGCTATGCTTAAGAACTATTTTGTTTGAAATAGGTCATATTTTTTTGTATGTTCTTTGTGATCGGGATCAAGTTAGTGGTTCAACACCTTAAAGAAATATGAGTGAACACGCTGAAATGTCTCACCTGCTTTTCTAACCATTGATTTTATGTTGCAAGTCCTAAATATAAAGTTTTACTACAAGTTTCACATAAATTTATGGCTTTCAAATATTTGGCTTTGAGCGTTTTGGATGCATGAACTTTATAATGTGCTGTTTTAATTTCTTAATATGATCCAAAAAATGAGGTCCAGGTCAGATAAACCAAGCCAGAATTACATGCACACCTTACAATCATTCCATACACCAAATATAGTAGACCTATTGCTTATAGTATCTGAGATATGGACTTGACCACGAAAACTTAACCGTATTCATTGTACCATATAATGAGGTTGAGGTCAACTGTCTGACAGACTTGAGGACCTTGCAAGGTAAGCACATACCAAATATATTTATCCTATTACTCATAATAAGAGAGAAATTAACATTACAAAAAATCTTAATTTTTTTTTTCAAGTAGTAACTGAACCATGAAAATGAGGTCAAGGACAATGGACATATGACAGACAGAAACTTCATAACATAAAGCATCTATATACAAAGTAAGGTTTTGAGTAGTTTGCTAACGCTGCCGCCACTGCTACTGCTGCCACTGCTGCTGCTGCCACTGCCACCAGATCACTATCCCTATGTCTCGCTTTTTGTCACAGAAGTCGCAGGTTCGACAAAAAATGTCTCCATTTCTGCAATACTCCATATAGGACAATACTCATTTGTAAAGACTCCCTGAAATCAATTGGGGAATCTTTCAAGATTTTCATTCATGCTAACTGATGTACATAATGATTCCTCTTCAGTTGAAAAATAATGGCTGAGTTTAAAACAAGACAATAAAACAAACTGATGTTTAATTTCTTTAATATTAAAATATTCTATCATAAAAAAATTTTAAATATTTTTGTTTAAAAAGCTGTCTGACTCAGTCATGCAACCAAGGCCATTGCAAAAATGTTTTGTTTTTCATGGAACTCTTCATTGCCTCTTTTAGTTTCTGAATGCTTTCTTATTTTTGTTCACTTTATCATTGAAAGTATAAAATTTACCAAATTTACCCAATTTCCTTTATCGTAATTTTTATTTCAACATATAACAATTGAATTCTAAACAGAAACAGAACATTTTTTTCAATAACAAAAGCACAACTAATTAATTTGCGTAGAGGTTGCACAGTGCATACAATAATTATCTTAAACCCTAAATAATAAATTTTAAACTCCTTTGGGTAGTGATATGCTGGTCATTTATGTCTTAATTTTTTTTATACATTTGTTTTCACACACATACACACTTATACCCACACACACACAAATTTATCCTCAAATAAACACCCTAACAAATAAAACATATTTAATTGCAACACAAAAAAGTGTATCTTGCGTACTTGTAAATAGTTGCATATAAAACAATCAAAACAACATTTCTGAAATTCAATTATAAACTTTAAAATGTTTTTTTTTTCACTGAATTGTGCATCATAGTGATTATCCAAATTAATAAAGAGTTAAACTTTTTACGGTATAGTGAAAATTAGCTATCTAAAGAAAAAGTTTTTTCACAAGTAAAATTTTACTAAAATTATAATTTTTAACGAAAGTATGAATAAAATAGGTTAAATCATTTAATAAAACGTGCAAAAAGTGGATATTTAATTACTCTTAGGACTTCTGAAATATGAAAAGAAGTTTCAAATAAAAGTCTTCTGTAGAAAAATATTAACCAAGAAATGCTCTGAAAGTTTCCATTCAGATAATAGGCAGTATAATTTTGGCCAACATCCCATAAAATAAAATATACCTGCCTCTTGCAAAACTGAATGTTCAATTTACTACAATTTGGTGCTAAAAACATAGCTTTTGTGTTCAACACATTATTTTTAGCTAGCTTTTCATTCATGAAATAACAGTTAATAAGTAAATTTGTAAAATCAAATCACAGCAGTGACCTGACTTGAATCATATTTGCCCTGAAAGATATGCATTTGTTCAGAAATTTAATTACAATTTTCAAAAATTTGGACGGAATCCAGAATATCACAAATAAGTCAAGACCAGAGTAAATGCGTATCAGTGGATAAAAGTTTGTAGTCAAATGACAGTCACATGATTTATTCTGCTACTTCCTGTTCTTTTTCTTTTGTTTCTTCAGTCTTTTGTTCATCTAGAAAGATATAAAAAAAAATAATAAATAAACAGGAATATCAATCATATCTAAATAACAAATTAGTAAGAGTTTTGAGACATTATATATCAGATGAAAGAAAATTAATTTCAGAAAATTTGATATAAAACGAAAATATTTCTGCAAATTATGCATTTCTACTTTAAAAGTTAATTAAGATAAACTTCATTTATATTCACAAATTTTAAATAATTTATTCTATACATCATTTATACCTATGTTATGAAACTTTTTAACAGTATTATGAAGTTACATCTAAATGTATTTCTTATGCTTAAAAAGTGCCTGATAATGTGCATCATCGCCCAATTTAACTTCAATCCCACAGTGACTTAATAAAATAGGTCATATTTTAGCTGTGTTTGTGGATAACAAGCGTAGTATATTTACAACTACTGCTATTTAAGAACTATGTGATATCATTTTTTATGATGTGCAATTCTATCCATATATAAATGTGTCATACCAAGCCCCTCAAGAAAAATATAAAAAAAAATTATAGTAAATATTGAAAAAATAACAAAACCCAAAATCCTTGCTACAACCAGCATAAATAATCAGTGTCAAAATACTGTTTTTCAAACAAACAATCAAACAAGAACAATTAAAACCTTCTGAGGACTCTGTATATTCTCTTGATGACTTCCTATCTGATGAAGGAGTTTTCTTAGTCGATCTGGATTCTCTTTCTATAAATGTTTCAAAAGTTTTTAAAGATCATTCATTAAAAAGTTGACATCTATATTTATCAGTTTCAAAAAGTGATCTGTTAAACAATTTTATAATAAATGCACATAAATGAATACTTATTTAAAAATAAGAAGATTGCCAATGAGACAACTATCCACCAGAGAGCATATAACAATAATGTGAACATCCTATAGGGTACAGTATGGCCTTCAACAATCAGCAAAACTCATTTTGTATAGCAAGTCAAAAAGGCCTCCAACAAATGTGAAACAATTCAAACGAGAAAACTAATGGCCAGATTTATGATAATTAAAACAACAAATGAAAAAACCAATATGGTCGAATTCAACCAACAACAAACACTGAATAACAGGCTCTTCACTTGGGACATTTACCGGTATGTTCATGCATATCTATTATTGTTCTCACAATGTTTTTAATGAAATAACTTTATTGCAGCCTTTCTGTGAAACAAATTAATTGCATGATGATTTTATCTTTAACATTTAACCAAATATCAAGACTTAATTTAATAAAATATTTAAAATTTAGAATCCATATGCATTTTTGTGTTAATATTGTAGTAAATCAAAATGAATGAAAATCACATCCAAAGAGGAATAACCCAGAATATCCTGAATTGTAACAAGGAAAATGGAACAATATCTACACCTTATAAATGTTTTTGAAATTTATGTCATGTTTCTAAATTTTTATTTCAAATTTAAAAGTCACTTATCTGGGTACAAATCAACCTGATCAAGGCATTGGAATGAACACATCTTGGACACAGTAAAAAGCCTTGGTTTACAAACAATGATAGGTAGTTACATGACACAATCATGCATTAAAAGTAAACACTAAATATAGCAGTCAAGCCAGTGACATTATAGGGTTTTTAATTGTACCGAACTAATCTTTTCCCCAAAAATTAAGGTCATTTGTACAGTATGTGGCTGTTTTTTCAATATTGAATTATTGTTAAGAACAAATGCAGTAAACATGCAACATTGTTCAGACTATGGATTTGTTTATATGTATTGGGTACTTTTCGTGGACTTCCTTGATATAGGTGAATGCTGAATTTGAATATTTAACAAAATGCAAATTTTCTGCAGGCTACTTAAGATACATAATTATAAAATCATGTACAATTTTTTTCTCAATTCACAAAAATTGGTATTCATGAAAATAAATGAATCTATGAGTACATGTTCACTGAAACAAAAAGAAAATAAGACGAAAAAATAAAATTAGTGTTATACAAAAATCTATGAAATCGTTAAAAAAATTAATGTAAGCTGTAAATCAAACATTAGTTCTAAAATGTTAGTATCTAAAATATTAATCAATAAGCCTAAAGTACAAGGTATATTATATAATGAAATAAAAAAAAAAAAAAAAATCAATAAAAGTAGAAAATCTAAATGAAAAATTAAGAATAAATGCACAAAATATATAAACAAATTGTACATGCAGCATGCATGTATTGTTGTTCTCTTTCTCTGGTATACAGCTTCAGCTCGGTAACATTGAAGATTACGTACTGTCTGCATGTGTGGGTATTGTAAATATATCAAAGAAAAGTGCAAGACAATAATTAAAAACATGATCAAGAAAATAAGTGATTAAAACTATGTATACTGATATTTATACAGTACGATTGTGTTGAGGAGAACAGTTGGTGTCAACTGTTACTAGTTTCAAATACTTATAAAGACCAAGAACAAAAACATTTAAAGTAAAATCAATATGATCTGCAAAACAGGTAGACCTGAAGGAAGGCCAGGAATAGCCCAGATGACCATATTTCTACACCCCATTTAATCCCTCTGGATAAGTATGTATACATGAACATTCTCAATAATAAGGGATCATTTTACTTATTTCAAGAATGCTCTAAGTTCCACATCTTGAAAGTTCTTGCTATCAAGTTGAGTACAATGTATTTATAAAAATATTCATATATTACAAAACATTCATATATTACAAAGTATTACAGAAGATACGATACTGTAGTGTGTTTGTTTTGTTTTGTTTTGCTGGTACTTTTCCACTGAACATGCAGCTTTGAAGTAAGAATACAGACTGGTCTGTTTCAATCAGAATAATATGACCTAGGCAAATAATTTGTCTTCCTTGGACTATTCCTTTCTAGGATAGTGTGTTAAAAACGGTTCAGAGAGAGTTTCATTTTCATATCACATCAATATGGTTCCATCCTCAACATGTTTGAAAGATTTCTTGCTGGACAATTAACCTTGGTCTATCCATATGGATGAGTTAAAAGAGTGTAAGTCAGTTGACATCAATGAGGTTATGAATGGTGTTTACAGAAAAGAGAATAATGTGCAGAAAATTGATAATGGCCACAAAAAATAACAAATATGGGGAAAAAAAGGCAAAAATATAAAGAATTGCTAATAATGGGGTGCTAAAATATACCAAACAGAGAATTATGGTAGAAAAAAAAGATTAGAGAAAAATGGCCTAAAAAAAAAAAGAATACAGAATTGATGAGCCAACAAAACCCACCTTCATACATCTTATATCTGTAAGTTTAAATAAAAGGAGGTGAACTATATATATTAAAGAAACAGCAACCTGTCAATATAGAAATACTTTATCAGCCATTTTAAGATAATGAATGAAAAGTAAATGGAACATTTCCCACATTAGATGGTTTCTCAAATGGTATATTAACATTATCAAACCAAAGTATATTGGGGGAAAATGTGACAATTATAGAAAAATATAACAGCTACTACAAAAAGAAAATAATAATTGCTGGACATTGTGAAAAGCAGTCTAAGAAGTGATGAATCATGCTTTGGATGCTATAGCTGAAAAGTGCAATTAAACCTTTTTTGTCCTTCTTTTGATCCTTTGGTGAGGGACTCCTTCTTGATTTAGCATGTCCCTTAGGTGAAGGAGTCCTCCTTGATTTGGAATGTCCCTTTGGTGAAGGGGTTCTTCTTGATTTAGATTTCTCCTTCGGTGAAGGAGTTCTGGATCTATTTTTAGTTTTGGTTTTAGGTGAGGGTGTCCTACTAGCTATTCGAACTGCAAGAGAATCAAAACATTTACAGATTTTCTATCAGTGACCATGTTTCAGACATCACAAAACTCAGACAACATGTATCATGTGAAATATTGGCACTTACAGGTATTTTGTTTTATACGCTGCCTTGTGTTGTTATTTGTCAAATAGATCAACATTACTTATCTCTGTTAGACGTTAATTAAGTTACATTCAATCCACTAAAAATTAAACCACAATCAAATACAAATTAATAATCTGCAGATTATTCAAATGTCAATCATGAAAAAAATCATTAGTCTACACCAACCATTCTAATATAAGGGGTAATCTCAAAATGGATATATATTGAAAAAATAAGAAAAATGAAAAGTCATAATGAACATTTTGAGATGATCCCTATTTCAATCAATTACTTTAAAACCATCACATCTATGCAGACTTAGTATTTGTAACCTTTTGCAACACTAGTGGCTGATCCACCCTGTTTTGAGCCTCCAGCAGACTCATGACCTTTCTGTGACCCTGTTTCTTCATGAAAAGAGACAGAGGGTTGTTTGGCTGGGGAGTCCCTACCCTCTTTAGAAGGAGACGCAGGTGTTGCTCTATCAGGAGCAGGACTTTTAGTTGGTGATTTAATAGGAGACCGACCCCTAGAACCTATTGGAGTTGCTGGAGGCTTAGCAGGAGATTTTGACCTTCCAGACCCTCTTGGGGTTTTGAGACTAGCATCAGGACTACGTTTCCTGTGACCCGGTCCAAGAGTTTTTAAATCTTCAAGTGCTGAAAAAAATCCATGATTCTAATTTGTAACATACATAATTGATTCATTAGCATTTCAAAATTCATAAAAAATACAGTGATTTAATTGAATGTAACTGTAATAATTCAACACAAACAATTTTCAGCCTTTGGTACTCTAAAAATAGAATGTGTTGGTGTTGTACTCAGAGAATATGTTTTTTTCGTTCGTAATCTTTAATCACAATCCATGTACCAGATATTTGAACCTATTTCACAATGGGGAAGATTTCTTGCTGGCAGGCCTCTTCATTCAAAAATCAAAAAGTATTATAAATCTACCAAATAATGTCTTTCAGATGTTCATAAGACATTATATAGTCATCAGCATTTATATTTTTTTAATTTTACATATTTCCATTTGGGCTTCAACTTCTTGCATTTTGGTGCAATGCAAAACAGTTACTTCAAAAACTGTCAAATAGCCTCACTTTGAGAACTTGTAATTTATATTTATTCATGGCTTAACCCAAAAAGATATTTTGCTACAAGAAGTGTTTTTCAAAGATGCTAATGCATGTAAAATATCTTTTTTGGTAAGACTTTAGCTCATATCTATGTATCATATGTTTGTGTAAAATGGTTATTTTAGGTAAAGTACTTAAACAATAAGACATAAGTACTTAAACAATAAGACATGATTATGACATCATAATGACATCCCAAGTGAATATTCTACACTAAAATATCCAGATTATCTTGCTATTTATTTACCAATAAAAGGAAAATTATTTTGACAAGCTTGGATAATTTGAGTGTTTTTGTATAAATTCTGCTTTCATATCTTCTAAAACTAAAAATAAATGGTCAAAAACAAGTCCCATTTTGGAAATCATATTATCATCAAGTGAATAATATATGGACTAACCTTTAAAGAATATATCAATATGTCTATTTGTTATGGTTAACTCAAACATTTAATCATAATATCAGTAAAAGATATATATAAGAAGTTTCATTGTTAAAAAGCTTAGATCAGGGTTGCGTTCAATATCGTAGCGGCTACATAGTGCTACGTAGATTTTTGTCTACTGAACAAGTAGCTAGCCTAGCTGCTATCAATATCTATGTAGCAGCTAGGCTAGCTACACGTTCAATAGTCATACATCTATGTAGCCCTATGTAGCCTCTACAATATTGAACGCAACCCTGGTTATCTAGTAGACGGTGACACTAAAATCCTGTGGCTTTCCTTTTTTTAAGGTCACATGATGTACATCTTATAGCAAGTTGTTAGTAACAGATTTATAACTGGAAATAAATTGTACTTTTTGTCAAATTGAGAACAGGATTTAATTGATGTCATTTCATTTTTCCTGAACAGTTTGAAAAAAATAAGATAAAACATTGATTTTACTGATAATTACAGATAGGTAGTTACATGTTTGTTATTTTCTGTAAAATGTCACTTATATCAATTTTTTTGCCAAACAAAACAAAATGTGTGTTTACGTTTTCCTGCTTTAGAAAAATTAATGTAGATAGATAAGATAGTTTTTACCTTGAGTATATAAGGACCATATGCAATTCACTGCAAAAGTCATAAAAAAACGCTAGCTACAGGCATTTTGAGGCAAAAAAATAAGGTAGATAGGGAAACCCTAAACACTATCTTTTTTATTTAGGCCTTATCAAGATAACATTTTTGGTTCTGGTGTTTCATCTATAGCAATAGTGGTATTTTATCAGGTAGAACATGCTAAAGTTGGAAAATCAGATCTTATGTTCTATCTGTGCAAATAAGACAGATCTGGTCTTATCAAGAAAATATATTACTGAAATGTAGTATAAGTTAAGATATACAGTTCAGAGGTCAACTTAGGTTCATTTTGTGGAAGTAAATTTATTTACTAGTACCATATAAATTCTCCCTTTCTTTCATTCAGTTTCAGAAATAAACTGATACATGTTATCTTGGCAAAGAGAAAATTGTACCTCTACAATAAAAGTACTTCCACAATACAAAGATACAAACATAGATGCAGAAATTGTTTTTTATAGAACATATCATATATGTAAAATTAAGGTTGACCATGATTAATGGCACACTTTTAAACATTAGACTTCATATTTGTCATAAATCAATTTAATATGAATTTGGCAATATTTCTTCTTACATTTTGATTTTACCCTTTAACTTTCGGCATATGGAAAAAAGACAAAATCCATACTAAAGTAAATAGAATGGTAACTCTATGACTTATGGCTGTTCCAAAATTTATTGGGTGAAGGAAGGGGGGACACTCAAATTAATTCAACATGGGTGGTTGCATTTTCATTAGAATCTTGTAAGAATTAAAAGTGGAAATTAAAATTTTTATTTCATGATGGTCAGGGTCTCCCATGCCCCCCATGCATTTAATTCTGGAATAGCCCATATCAAACCTGTTGCCTATAAACTCAAAATTTTTATAAAAAAAATATGAGAATTCAATGCGAAATTTTAAAAAGAAAATATGTAATTTCTTATATTCTATAAATAGAATCTGCCATTTATCAACATCAATCTTAATTTAATGTTAAATCTGCTGAATAGATAGAGATACAATATGTTTACAGTCAGGGATCTACACCAGGTTTTACCTTTCTCTTCCTCAAAATCATCTGCATAATTATCTCCCTTGGTTTCTTCTATGATAGCATAATATAAATCAATTAATTGTATCGTATTCAGTGTTAGAATAACCGATAATAATAGATATAAGAGTTCTATACAATGCCATAGATAAGTTTCAAGCAAAAATGTTCAATCATCTGATTTCTAATATACATGAAAACATGGACAACAGTCAATATATCTAACTAAACTGTTGGAATTCTCTTAGAAAAGCCAAAAAATGTTTAGCTTACAGGCCATAACATATAAGAAAATTTTAGTTTTTGACTTATTTATGGCGCCATATATCATTAAAACTTATTAAAGTTCTTAAAGTGCAACCTGCTTTTAATCCTGTCAAAAGTTTCTGTGTGAGCAAAAAAAACCATTACAATTTTTTCTAAAATAATAGTAATTTCACTGACAATTATTCTTGTACAACTTTATTTTTTATTTGAGTGTGGTAAAGTAAAGTTTCTTTGTTTGTTCGGTGAACCATGAATTCTTTATTAGCTATTGTTAATAAGAACAAGAATCAAACAGGTTTTAAGTCATCCTCTTGTTACATGTACCTGATTTGATTGGCTAGAAAAAATTGTTGTTACTTATTCAATAGGTAGTACACAATAGTCAATGTGATTTCATGGTCCACCAAACAGGCAAGAAAACTAAACTTTGTTTTTTGTACACACTCAGGTATAGGTGTTGTATCACTACTAACCTGTTGATCCTGGTCGACTCTCTATTTTTGCTGATCCTGCAGTTCCGGGTCGTTGCTCCGTTTTTGGGTCGGGCTCTTCCTCATCGTCTCCTTCACCTCGTACTATTTTACCGTTAACTTCATCTAATGCCTTTTTGATTGCTTGTTCTGCTACGTTGTCTTCTAAATCTTTAGCTATTTGTAACGATTCTTCAAATGATGAGGCTGCTGCTTGTAATTCACCATTTTTAACTGAAATCAAAGAAAATTTACTTTTACAGTGACACTGATATATAGGTTTATAAATATTATGTTTATGAACTCATTGATGTATGTAATTATGATTCAGATATTGGTGCTCAGTGAAAAGTTTTAATATAAAAACCAATAGTAATACAAATTTGTTAAACATTGAATTCAAAGCCTGGTCTTGTGGTGCATGCTCACTTTGAGAACTGTAGGTCATGGGTTTTGATCCTCAGCCTGTCAATCCAAAGACTTGAAAATTAATATTTGCTCCTTCTCTCCATGCAGTGTTTAGAGTATGAACAAAGAACAAAGACTAGTTACCCAAGAGTCGAAATGATGTGTCCAGGTAGGGTGCAATGTCTTCCTTTGGACTGTTCCCTTGTGAACCAACACATTAAAAAATCACACTCAACGATTCAAAACTTTTATACAATACCATTGCATGTACACTTTTAAATTGGCGGAATTTATTTTGGCGATTTTGTTCTATCCACGAAAATAAGTGAAAATTTACACCCCGGGAAAAAAAAACCCGCTATCATTATCACATTAATATATTCTCGTCCTGAATATGCATTACTTTGCCACTAGATGTTTAACATCAATCAATCATCTACCATCACCATCATCATGTACACAACAAATATATAACTGTAACATTTGCCACTGGACATTAAACTTGAAACGTTTGAAAAATTAAGAAAGGAATCAAGGTATTTAATGCTAATGATTTATAATCATACCTTCAGACTGTGCTACCAAAACTGAGGCATGTAATTTCCACGTGTCATCTTCTGCCTCCTTGGCTGCCTCTAGAGCTTTCCTTCCATTGTCTCTAGCATCTATATATTGGTTTAATTCTAGATGACATCGTCCTATTTCATGGAATAACCAAGCACTTTCTAATGGCGACTTACTCATTGGTATCTTCTCACACCACCTGATGAATATAAAAATAGATATGATGCAATGGCAAATGATAAATCAAAACTTCAGCTACTAAAATCAAATAACACTTCAACACAACTTTAAAAATTTGACTTTGAATATATATTTTATTCAATAATTGCATGTGTAGTCTTTCTTTTCACAAAAAATTTTGCTTCCTACCATATTTTCACAAACTTTAAGAGATATCATAATAAAGCCTTACTTTACTAAGACTTACACACATATTTCTTTTCACTGAGAGTTTGTACTTTGCTTTTAATGTGTGATGATGGTACACTATAGCTTGAGTGGATTTTGCTTTTTTCTTATCGTTCATGGTGGGCAGCCCACCAAATGCTATTCTAGTTTATATTCTTTTTTTTATCAATGTTGAACACTAATGTTCATTTTTTAAGGTCAATAAGTGAGCCTGTAAACTCCTTATATGAAGCAAAAGAAATAGACATTCCACTTGAGAGGATGGACATAAGGGATATTCTAGAAGTTTTACCCACTCTCATTCACTACCACTCTGGACAAGTGGAAATTGCATAATTTACTTGGGTTGTACTGTAGTTTATATGTTGTTAGACATAAAACAAAGATCTTACACATCAATGGCCTTTTGGAAGGATCCTTTTCTGGCATAAACTCTACCCAAATTATCTAAAGCTCTTGACTTAGCATCTTCTAAATCGCTGAAAAAAATTAAATCAAAATACAGTACAATATCATTTTAAGGCAATAATTTTTCCATAGATTTAAAATACATGTTATACTCCTTGTAAATGTACATTTTCTTTTTTACATTCAATTTAGTCAAAGTCTCATAAAACTGTCTCTTAAGCAAATAAAGAGAAGAAATAAGAGGTGGTTTGATGAAACATTTTAAGAGAGTGACTATCATGCTAATCTATTTTCTAGTGGTAAATATTATTTTATTCCTTTTTCTGAATAAGATTTAACCAGAAGCAAATAATGGAAATAACGTGAACTAAGAATTCCCATCATAAATATTATGCTGAACTTCTTTCAAATGAATCTACATCTGCTTTTAGTTTTATATACATGGTATAAAAAAACACGAAACAAACAAATCATTTACTCACAATTCTTTTAAGTGTTTTATTAACACAATTTCTACTGTTTTTAGCAAAACAAAAGATCTTACTAAAAAGTAGTGGTCATCATGCAAGTAAATTCATTTCAATAAAGATCTTTTGAAAGTTAAAAATAACTTTTGGGATACATAATATACATGTTATTGCAAAATCACATTCCATGAAAATCGAAACAAATAAATTCTTTAGATTTAACAATAAAGGCCAAAAAAAAGCTAAAATAAAATACTGTTATAATTCTCAAACAACCAGTCTGGTAGTCACGACAATAGATAGTTTTCCATCGACAGAATTTAATGTTGAGTTCATTCCCTTTTCTGCCATGATGAAGATCAAAATTTTCAAATTTCTTCATAAATAAACTAAATTCAACTTGTTATACTGAGACTCATTTCAAAAAAATACTTTCAAGTCATTATCATTTCAGGATAACTTACGGTCAGTTTTAGTAACAAGATTTTTTGTGAAAAGAGCCTCTGACTTCTAGACTTAGTTGCTTTCTGAACTATTTCATTGACATGATTTATAACATATTTTCTTGAAATCTTGGAATTGGTTATTCTTTTTATATTTCTTGGTCATTTAGCTGCTCAGGTATTTATACATACTTGGATTCATGGCAATGCTTCATGAAGGTATAATCAGAAAAATATTTCAGTGCACAAAGTTCATAAAGTCTTATTTTCATTGTACAATTCAATTTATCACTTATTGACCTAGTAACGATCTTTCATCAGACTTGATTGTACCACATGTTTAATTTTAGTTCGTCACACAAGAAAATTTACAACTTTGCTGTTCAACATGTCACCCAAGTGCAATACATCAATTTACATCAATGGAAAACTATCTATACAATTTATTTGCATGCAATTAAACAAAAAAGAGAAAAACCTGTTATTAATAATATCATATATATGGTCATATAAAAATCAAATGTTTGAACCAATATTTGGTAAATGATATTTCAAAATCACCATATATAATTACATCTTTACTGCATGCAGGTTAATAAAATAGTTTTCATAATCAGCAGCCACAGATCCAGTAAATTTTAAGAAAAAGTTATCAGAGGTAATACTGATGCAAATCAGACATCCTTACTTGTGCCTTTTTCAACAGTGTAATTATTTTATTTTAGCAAGATTTAAGCTTTGAAGAATATTAACCTATTATTCTAAAACTTTTTCTCTCAAGCATACCTGATGAGAAATATTCAAGTTTGATTGACTGGTACATGTATTTAAAAAATATGCCACCTCAGGACAAAATGGCTGTTATTCAAGAAAAAAAAACAGTTAATAAGATGTAGTCAATAAAATTGTATTTCTTTCCAAAAAGCCTAAATCACCATTAGAAGAGGGCTAGGTTCTGATCTTTGACCAAATCTGACTTTTTGGATCTGACAGTACATTAAATAGCATGCATGCTTCAAAACTTCACATAAAATTACCCTGAGGTTTTATTCTTTTTTCCCTTTTTTCTTTTTCTCATCCTGTTGTTTTAAGTCAAAATGCTTTAAAATATGTCTATATCTTTCCATTTTTATTTTACAATCATTTAAATGCTTTTATGTTCTCCTTTTTTCTTTAAATTCAAAAGTCAAAATTTGAAAATTTCCTTAGATACAATAATATTTAAAAATCTACTTTAATAGAATCAAAGATCTCACAAAATACTAAGCCATTTTCCAAAACATATTATTAGAATTATAAATTCAAAGTTTCCCAGCAATAAAAAAAAATTCAAAAAATTGTGAATGATTAGTTTGCACATGATTATAATAATTGTTCAGGTTTTCTGTACATTAAAACTAGAGTGCACATGCTGAAATGTCTTGCCTGCTTTATTGATTATGGTTGAATTTTATGTTGAAAGTCTTTAAGATTAAGGATTTTAAAGTATCTATGTAAACTTAACATTGTCAATGATACATGAAAATGTGTTCAAGGTCAGATGATCCCTGGCAGACAGACATGTACACCATACATCCAACATAGTTGTCCTATTGCTCATAGTATCTAAGAAACAGATCTAACCTCGAAATCAAACATTGACTTATCAACCATGAAAATGAGATCAAGTTCAGATGAACCCTGGCAGACAGACATTTACACCTTTAAATACAATCATTACATATGCAAAATATAGTTGACCTGTTGTTTATATTATCTGAGATACAGATTTGACCTCAAAAACTGAACCTTGATCACTGATCCATGAAATGAAGGCAAGGTCAGGTAAACCCTGCATAATCTACATGTAGAATTTGCAATGATTCTATATACCTAATATAGATTATAAGTTATCCTATTACTCATAATAAGTGAGAAAGTAATAGGATAAAAACATATAGATTTTTTTTCGGCAGTTGCTGAACAATTAAATTGCAAATGAGGTCAAGTACAATGGATATGTGCCAGATGGAAACTTTAAAACAGAAGGCATCTGTAAACCAGATAAATTTTTTTGCAGGGGTATATAAAGTTGCTTCTAATTACACTTTTACAGACAGATTCATGATTCCATAAATTGGTTTAAAAAATTTACCCTTGCTGACTGAGTAGAAAATAATTTGTAACATGCTACAACATGCTCAAATATTACAAACTAATATTTCTCTTCGGCTTAATATTTTGAAACATTCTATAATTCATATATTTTTTAAAAATTATATCAATTTATCAAGAATTCTAAAAAACTGACATGCTTTTATAGTTGCTATTAGAAATAAAATCTGACTGGTTAATGAACTGATGATAATATTAGAAATGAATTTTGATTGGTCAATGAACTGATATATATATCAGAAATGAATTTTGATTGGTTAATGAATTGATGATATCAGAAATGAATTTTGATTGGTTAATGAATTGATGATATCAGAAATGAATTTTGATTTGTTAATGAATTGATGATATCATAAATGAAATATGATTGGTACATTAACTGATAATGAATTCATTGTGAAGAAAGAAGTTCAGCATTAAATTTTCAAATTTAGAGAGTGAATGCAATGTGTATCATCCTATTTCAAGGAAACTTATGGTTGTATCTTAGTGTGATTTGTTTAAGCAGTTCTTTATTTGAAATATAACAAAATGACCATAAATAATGGCAAATAATACTTTTATAAAGACGTGTATCCAATTGTTAACATAACTTTGCTATTCTAAAATTGGAAACAATGTGGGTAGTTGAAAAAAGATATATTGTTACTACACGTAGTCTGCTGTATTTGTTTTTAAGTTAGATAGATTCTGAGGAGACTTCATTTACTAAAAACACAGCCTTGAGAAGGATTTGACAATTAAACATAGACTTAAAATGGAGTTGATAGTAAAATAACTATATAAACAATACTAACTGTTCTCTTGAGAGCTCAAGGTCTCGTTCGTGATATTCCATTGATCGGTTGAAATTGTTCATCTCTAGGTAAGCGTTACCTATAGAACTGTATAAGGTAGCCATGATTTCTGCGCGGTTCTGAAGTTCATCCGATGACATGCCTTCCACTTGTTTCAGTACTTTCTGTGCCTTCTTCAAACTCTGTTCATATTTACCCTCTGATTGGTCTAAAAGTAAAGAAATTTAACCTTTACACTGCATCTAAAAATAACTTTGATTTGATTGGTCTAAAAATAAATTTAACCTTTATACTCCATCTAAAATAACTTTGAATGTTTGTAATTGGATTAAAAGATAAACATATCTAGAAATGCTCTGTGCCAAACATTCTCATGCTCATATATAGATTATTTGCTATAATATGTAGACACAAATTAACAGAGTTTCTGCATACCAATCTTTTTTTAATATTAGCTGTGGTCACTCATAACATGAAGCTTTTTAGGCATGTAAGCACACAGAGCAAGCTCAAAAAGCTTCAGATTGTACCAAGCAGCTGACATTTTACTATATTCATGTAACGAAAATCTTAAAATCAATTTTACAGATTGTACGTATTTGTGTTGTTCTGATGGTCTAATATTTTTCTTCCTTTAACAAGCTAACCAGGAGACTTGATGAGTCAAACTAATCAATGATGGTCAAACATTATGTTGTTGATGATGAATCTAGCTAGGTGAAAGATATGAAGGCAATTTGAATGGAATTGGAAACAAAAGTTCTGAAATTTTTATCCTAACTTGTGTATGTATATCTAATACTGAAATTGTTGACAATATAATATTTAATTGTGTAATTTAAAACCATATTAGAGAAAATATGTATTTTTGTTTTGTTCTGAGGTGTACAAACCTTCTTCAATTTCATCCAGACTTCTAAGAATATAAGATCTTGGATCTCTGGACTGTTGCTTGGCACTACGTCTTGACTTCTCTTTGTCACGTTTACGTGCATACATTGGTTTCTGCTGTCTCCAGAAGTCAGCCCTAGAATTAAGGTATTCCAGACCATCATATACTTTGTGTTTTATATCTCTTTCCATTGGTGATTTCTCTCCAGTTAAAGCTGTCAAAAGTTAAGCATCGAATTTAATTGTATGTAAGATACCAAGGATTTGTATGAGGCTCTGGGTGGGGTTTACAGATTCGAAAATAATGGGCAAAAGTGCAGAATAAAGGGCAAACAAAATAAAGAATACAGAAAAATAGGCAAAACAATTAAGAATAGAGAATTATGGGGTACTAAAATATAAACAATAGAGAATAACAGGCAAAATTTATAAAGAATAGAGAAAAATGTCAAAAAAATTAAAGAATACAGAAATGAAGAATCCCTCATCCTGACCCTCTAGTATGTAAACGATAGGAAGGTATAAATAACAGTAAATCCTTTCTGAATGTGAAAAAGTTAAAATAAAATGTTGACACAGGGATATGTCTGGCCTGTATGTTATTTTGATAGTATAATGTATTGAAATCAAAATGGCAATATTTTAACATGTAAATGTTGCAAAAATTTCAATGACAATGACCTATTATATAACTGTGGGTGTGGGGTCATATCATCTCTGTGGAAATGAAATATGCCAATTCTTATAGAACAGAAGACCAAATATCACAGACTTATCATAAGTGGTTAACTTTACACTGACCTAATCACAAACTAAAGCATGTAAATTTTGCAAAGTTTTAAAAACAATGACTGTCAGAGGGGGTAAATTGTAAACTTTGAATTTATCAAAAAACAAATTGTGTGTTAAGGGTTCCCTCTTTTTTAATAGTAGGGTATGTAGGTTGGATTATTTAAATTTTCCTGTTTGCTTACCTTGTGTGTATGGGGAACCACCTTTAATTATGTCATGATTTACTACTAAAAGTGCCCAAAGAAACATGGCATGTATTTTGAGGTATACAAAATAGGCAAGTAGGCGAAACTCTTACAACAAGAATTTCATATTTTGACCTAAATGTTCTTTAATTGAAGTCTTACATTTATCTTTCATTAGTTTTTCTAAGTACTCCTTATCACCATACAATTCTCCCAATAACTGTTTGATAGTTTTTGAATCTCCTCCACTTTTTGGTCTTTCCCTCTCTTTTTTGGTTTCTTTCTTTGCGCCTGGTTTTTGGTATGTCCCTTTAGATTGTTTGGCTTTTGACTAAAAAGTAAATTCAAATAAAATTTCACACAGAGCTAGGTTTTTGAATATCTGAATAATTCTCCTATATTAAATATGCAACAATATATTGGTAAAAGTAAAAATGTGGTACATGTTTATTTAATTATTCCTGCCTTTTTTTCAATTCCACAACTCTCTCTAGTGTGCATTGCATGATGGGGGAAACTAAAATGGATGGGATCGGTAATAGAAAGTTTAACAAAAAAAACATTTTTTTATTGATATTTAAAATAATTAAGGCTCTTGATTTGTCAGGGTTTTGTTATCTATTATACTAAAGGAAAAGCCATACTAAATAATCATGCGTTCTATTCATATTTTGAAGTCTAAGATAATCAGTACCGGTATTGATGCAAATTAATGAAAAGTATCAATCATGAAAAAATAAGTAAGTGTAAACTAGCCTTCATTTTCTTTTTTTTTTATTGATTAAAATAAATGAATCAAACTATCACCAATAAAATTAGTCATACTCTAAAAGGTACAAATTAATCCTTCAGAATAAATTTCAAATTCTTACCCCCTACCTGGTGTGCTTAGTGCATATTTATAATGGTCTTACTGATATAGGTATGTATGTAAGCCTAAACTGTAAAAATGAATATTGTTTCCATTCAATACCAATTTTTGTGTGGAAAAACTCACCTAAACATGCTTCATGTGTAAACTGATGTGGCATAATGTGTGCTATATTGTATATTTTATATCTATTTCACATGCTGATGCAACAATCTTATTTAATTATTGATGTTCAAAACTAAAATGCACTAAGCCTTATAATTGTGCATTTATCTGTGTTTCAAACAAATGCATCTATTGTCAGATGCTCATAGTTTTTTATTTGCATCATTGACAAGACCATGCATGTGTGTGTGTGTGTGTGTATGTGTTACATTGACACCATATGTTTGTGTGTCCACACTTTGGTGCATGAAACAAAATAAAAGTTCTCACATCACTGTAAGATGTCTTGCTTTTAGCACTAAATGCTTGTTGTGCTAATTCCTTTTGCTGAAGTAAAAATGTGTGTAACATATAAAAAAAATGAAAAAAGATAATATATAGTTGTCATTTCACTGCCCTTTTCTCAACTCCAATAGGCTAATCAACAGGAAAAGTTGTGACCAGAAAATGTTGCACAAAAAAAGGAATTTAAAAACTGAATTTAATTAACCAGACACTTTGTCAGGGTCTTTTATAGCTGACTATACGTTAAGGGTTTTGCTGATTGTTTAAAGCTGTACAGTGACCTATAGATGTGTAATCCATGTCATTTGGACTTTAGGAAAGTAGTCTCATTGGCAATCATATTCTTATTTTTATATTGATTATGTGTGACATTTGTCATTGCAGTGACAAGAAACTATTTAAGATAAGTTTCTTCTTTGACAGATATTCAGTTTGACTTTATTAAACATAATGGATTATCTGTTACTGTTTTAAGGTTCTAAGGTGAACTATTAGAATGGGAACCAGTCTACTCTACTAATGGAAGGTGGTGTTTTAACTTCTGTTTATATATTAACACATTAAGCATTATGCACTATCAGAGAGGGTTTAATTCAGGATCTATACTAAAGGATTAAAATTTCAGAAATTCTAAAATACTAATATTTTTATCAATGATGATGATGATGATGATGATGATGATGAATAGCTTTTCTGCAACAAAATGCTCTTTTCTAATCTGCTAGAATTTTGTAAGTTCAACTGCACTTTTCAGTCCATGGATATGTGTGTAGCCACATCTGGTCCATATTGGGAAGAATGCCACACTCTTTGCACAAGCTAAATTTCTGTCCATATGACGTATACCCTTTTTCCAGTGGCAGTCCAAATTTCCTGCCTTTCATTCCAGTCCACTCACTATAACAGGTCCTTCCTATTGTATTTTCTAGTCCTGAACATGCATGAAATATTAGCCACTGGATTTTAAGGTAACAACAATTAATCAATCAATCAATCATTGCACATAAAGAACCCTTATAAAACTTTTTGAGAGGTCTGTAAATGACCCTATATTAATCAAAGTTTTTGTCCCTTTTATGCCCTTGGGAGTTAAGCAACCAACCAAATCAAAAACAATTTCAAAATAAATACAGCATTGAGGAATATTTCTTGATGGAAGTAAAAAAAATTAGAGCCAGGTCGTTCCAGAAAAGCTATTAAATATCGTAACATAATAACTTAAAACACCAGTGAAAGATACCAAATGTTAGTAAAAAGGTTGTGTTGTTCAATATCTAGTTTTTAATTTGTAAAAAAAATGGCTACTTCTTATCTTATGACTAAATCTACTGAAAAATTTGGCTGTCTAAGTGTAAAGTTTGAATGGAAAAAAGCAACAAATATAGGCCACATGTTTTGTGATACAAGTATCCCATAATCTAAACAAGATTAAGCAACACAGTAACGGAAAGATAATTGAAACACATTTGAAACTTCTATATAACAAAACAAATAATAAAACTTCATTCTTTTTAACAAAAGTGCATACTGAAAACAAAATCTAAAAAAATCAAAACTGCCAGAGACCCACAGAAATATATACAATGTACCAGTTTATGAAAAGATGATAATGAAAAGAATTGTTAAGTGAAACCCATTGTTTGTATCAGTACTTCATAGTTTTACTGAATCCATGTTCTAACTTTCAAATATTTAACCCCCTAGAATTAAATACAGGAGTATTCAAATTGGGGCTTGGCAAACAATAAATTCATGTTTCCAGGCTATTCAATTTGGTCCAAAATTTGAGAGAGTACTAGAAATAATTATATATATATAAATAAACATAAATTTAAAGGTTAGCACATGTCTTTTTTATAAAAATTGTGTGGTTGGAGCTAAAAATCTCATGATGGCTTAGGAACAGGGATTAGATATTATTTTCTTTTGCCTTAGCATACTTTACACCATATTTTTTTTATAAATGTATTTATAGATATAAGGTTAGATTGAAATGTTAGAACATGAATTACACATAGTGCAGACAAATGTTACATCATGTTACCTTCTTCTTCTCTTCCTGGTAGCAATTTAAACATGGAAAATGATGATTAAATAACATATCTAATCATACAAGCTATGTAAATGTACATTATACATACTTATGGTAAATGGACTTGTGATTAATCAAATATTCATACCACTAGCAGTTGAGCATCTTCGCCAGCCAAGGGTTACGATCCACTTCCTTCCTCTCCACCCTTGGCAGATTGAGATAGAATTTCGGAGACACAAGGTAATGATTTTCATTGGTTGCAGTCGAAACTTGCTGCATCCAATCAAAAAGCGACTATAACATGATCAAGTGTAAAGGTAGAAAGTGTATGTAAACAATTGCCACGTGCTTATTGTGCAACAAGTCTTTACATCCCTAAACATACGACTATATTTAGTGACAATTTGAATGTTTTTAATCAACTAATAGAAGTTCCTGTGTATGTTTCTTGCACAAATGCATGAATGTCAAAGTTTATTTTCGTTTCCTGCTTTACCAAGCGTGTAGAATCTAGACGCTATTGTGTTTTTACCTCCAAATTGAAGAGTTCAAGTGCTACCATTGGTCAAGAATAATGTATTCGGAATGGGCGTGACTTTAATCTTCCGACAGATGGCGCAACAAGGCTTAATCTGCCAAGGGTGGAGAGGAGGGAAGTGGATCGTAACCCTTGGCTAGCAAAGATGGCAGTTGAGTGAATCAGTTCAAGGTAATATTACCCTAATGAATAACCCTGTCATGTATTCCCATGGAATATACCATAGGTTTTCCAAAATTAGAAGGCACTTTTCCCAAACCTTCCACCATATAATTTTATAAAAAAGTAATTTTGTGAAGGAAAATCACTTCTGAAATTATCAATGTAAGTTTTATCATTGTGAACCTGTTAGTGTCACAAATTTCACACTATTATAAACTGTTATCACAGAGATATGTCTTGCCTTTTTGTAATTTTGATAATGCAAATGTTGAAATTATAAAATAGTAACACTTTAACATGTAAGTTATGTAAATATTTAAAGTCGATGAACCATGACTGAAGGTACATGGCTAAACAATCTCTATGGAATGAGATGTGCCAATGCTAATACAACTGCATACCAAATACCATTGACTTATTATAAGTCTTTCCCTTTAAACAAACCTAAACACAAACATTAACTTGTAAACTATGTAAAAGTTTCAAAGTCAATGAACCATGATCAGGGGTGGCCAAATAATCTCCATGGTAATGAGATATGCCAATGCTTATACAACTGAACACCAATTAACATTAACCTACTACTAATGGTTCCCCATAAATTGACCTAATCACAAACTAAAACATGTAAACTATGAAAACTTTCAAAGTCAAAAAACCTTGACTGAGGGGGCGGGGCCAAATAATCTCCACGGTAATGAGATATGCCAATGCTTATACAACTGCATACCAAATATCATTGACCTACCACTAGTGGTTCCCCATAAATTGACCTAATCACAAACTAATACATGTAAACTATGAAAAGTTTCAAAGTCAATAGACCTTGACTGAGGGGACAGGGCCAAATAATCTCCATGGTAATGAGATATGCCAATGCTTATACAACTGCATACCAAATATCATTGACCTACTACTAGTGGTTCCCCATAAATTGACCTAATCACAAACTAATACATGTAAACTATGAAAAGTTTCAAAGTCAATAGACCTTGACTGAGGGGGCGGGGCCAAATAATCTACATGGTAATGAGATGTGCCAATGCTAATACAACTGCATACCAAATATCATTGACCTACCACTAGTGGTTCACCATGAACTAGACCTAATCACAAACTAATACATTGTTGACGCCGCCACCACCGTCGCCGCCGCCGGAAACAGCATACCTATGTGTCGCTTTTTGACTCCGTCAAGGCGAGACAAAAAGCATTGCAATAATTTCTGAATTTACAGTAGATTTGTGAAGGATTCAATGATTATATTTTTTATGACAACAATAAATCAAACTTGATATTTACTCATGTAAACAAATATTAGTATGAAAGTATGTTAGACAATTCAAAACAACAACATTTTCAAACAAAATTAAACAAATGCCAAAAAATAACAATCTGTTAAATCATTCACTAAATTAATAACGATCAACAGGATTAAAGGGAGATAATTCCAAAAATGTGCAAAACTTCAGGGAGGTCACAAATATTGTAACTCAAAGTTAACTGAAAAAAACCAACTTGTGAAGGGTAATTAACCTTTAAGTATTTTCAGTTTCTTGCTCTATCTTACTGAAATGAAACAGTTCATAACATAACAAAATGATATACTGGGTTGACTTCCTGTGTTCAAATACCATTAACTTTATTGCCTGAATTTAAACTCTAGCATTTACAATGTAGCATAAATATCCATAACAAATAAGGAGAAAACACATGTAAAATAATGCATACATGTATTCCACTAATCATTTTAGACATAAATTCTTGGGATGATAGTTATAGTAATTTTTCTTATTTAAATCAGAAATGAAATCAGTATATCAGTATATCAGTAATCAATTATTAATAATCAATTATTAATAATGGGCAAATTTTCAAATAAAAAGAAAAAAAGAAGCTCTACTATAAAATTATCAAACTTATAAAATGACAAACAAATTATCCAAACATTTTTGAACAACAAGGGAGATAACAATGAATTTAGCTTTATATTCAAGGGAGATAACAATGACTTAAGCTGTATAATCAATTTACTGAATGTTTACATTTGGTTAATATTTAAACAACAAATACACTCTTATTAAGTAATTATCACATATATCTAGCATTAGATCCGAGTCTAGCTAACCTTATAACCAGATCCACATCAGTATTAAACTTAATATTTTGATCAAATCAGTCAAATGAGTCTTATAAGAATTAAGACCAATAGTAAAAAAACTTACTTGTTGGTACAATAAAAAAATATTCAGACAAAATAACAAAACATACGACATACTCATTTGGTAGAAACTGACTCAATATTTCCAGATGTTGGTCTTTATCCAGGGATATCCTTTTTTATGGGTATATTATGTTTTTGTTGTTTTCCTTTTAATTTTGGAGGTTGTTTATAAACATAGATGGACACATTAATATGTCTGTGGAAATGTCTGAATACCCCATAAACAAAAATTTCATGGACGTCCATGGAAAACCTTTTTAAATCTAAAGACAGAATATTTAATTTTTATATTCCAATATCCATTTCCCAAAAAAAGAGTTAGAATTATAGCTTTAAAATAACAGTTGTTCATGTAAAAGTAAAACTTATCAAAACAGGTGAAGACAAACTGAAAATTTGTAGGGCTACATTTTACTTATAAGATACACAAGAATCACAAAGAAAATTGAAATGCTATTAAAAACAAGAATGCATATGTTGTCCTTCTAACTAGCCCTGTTTGTAATTCAAAGTATCCAAAAACAAGAAATTGGTGTCTGGAGGATCCAAAAAGAGCTCACACAGTACAAAGGATCACTGTCGAGTTGTTAATAAAAAATAAATATGGTTTTTGATAAAAGTGTGAAGAAAATATATGAATGGCAAACAGACAAACTGATGAATGGGTGGAGAAGGTGATTGGAAGGAATAAAACACCTGAATCAATATTATATGTCACATATAATTGACAGCTGCCTTTCATACATAGTTAGCTATAGAATTGAAACTTTTACAAAGAAAAAGAATTTTATGATGATGAAGACATTGCATGTTCTTAACAGGCAACTGATTTCATCAAAAACTTAAGTTTAAATACTGATGTGGTACAGACCATATTTTATCATATACCTGAAGAAATACTGCCTAAAATTCAAATTATCAATTTATTTCATTTGTAGATGACAAACACTTCAGATGCTTTACTAGATTTTTAAATAAAGAAACCCATTCTGTATATTCATTATTTTTCTGGGGATTCTAATATTAGTGAATTTCATGAGTATGGATGCACGATAAATTTAAGTGTTCTACGAAGATCAAATTTATTATAGGCTTGTATGCAAAATATGTCAAAATCATGAAATAAAGAATCCGTTAATGTATATGTCTTAAACAAAGAATTTAATGTTAGTGAAATATTTTCTTGTGTGGGGATGTTGCTCATATTTTATTTTTACCAAAACCTCAATGTAAATTTGCCATTTGGTCAACCATGTCAATTAAGACATACATATTTTTTTGTATTACAGAGATTAACCATATCCATATCATAAGATTTTTTTTTAAATGGGGAATTTTACTCTATTTGCAATTTCGGGGGGCAAAGGATTATCATACCTTCGTTTTTTAACAATCTTTCATTTTGTACACTGTTTTTATTTAATTAAAGGTGTTCATATTTTTAAAATTTCTTTGAACAAAATCTACAAATAAATAGATCTTTACATTTTACAAATGAATTTCATACAAACAAAGAAAGAAGCATTGTAATTTGAAACTGGAAAGTAACAATAAATTATGTATATGGGGAGATAAGTCAAACCAATGAAACTTCTTTAATCATTGTATATAATAATGTTAAAATTAACTAAAGACAAAAGAGAGGAAAACCTACCTCTTCATGCTTGAAGAAATATGACAAATCTCCTGAAGCCTGTAACTTTACTGACTCTGGTGCTACAAAAATGAGACAAATTTATAATATTTTACAAATGTTTGTGTTAAATCCATGTACAACCTGCCAATTGTTTTCAAAATCTATTTTTAAGCACAAAAGAAAATAATCTTATGTATCTTTTATACACTTGGTATGATTATTTAGTTAAAATCTTATTGACTATACTTTGTGTATACAATGTGAGTTCATAGTGTATACTGCAAACTCAGAAATTTTTTGGTGCATTTATCATTGCGATTTTTGAAAAAATGAACAGAAGTGCGAGTTTTATTATTGCAATTTTATGAAAAGCTACATAAAGATATTATGTATCAGATATCACAATGTGATTTCTTATTATTGCGATACTAACCGAGTCCGATTATTCGCATTTATAAAAACCTCACAATAATTTCTGAATATACAGTATGTCAAACAAAAATTTCACAAAATTTGAAATGATCACAAGACTTACTGCCAATGCTGTTATTTATTGCTTCTTCAGATTTTTGTATTCCCATTCTTAATTCTTGTAATTCTGGTCTTAATTTGTGACCTCTATGGAAAAATACTAAAGCTGTTTCAAAGTCACCAATCTGATACAATGCCTCTGCCTTTTGGTAAAGTCCCTAAAATAGAAAATAACACACAATGAAACTAGGATAAATATTGATTTACTTATATTAAATTCTGTAGCATCTACAGTGAAAATAAGTGTCTGAAATTTGAAAAACCATAAATTAGAAAAAAATGTGTGACAAAAATTGGAATCAATGAATAAAAATTAAAAGTATTTTACCTTTCAAAATATTTATCAAGTTGTTATTAAAGGGAAAACAATTAACCAGTTTCAAGGTATTTAATTTCAATTCAGTTTCAATCTAGATTTTTGTCATGATATAGCCTCTTTGCGATGATGCAATGTACATGATTCAATGGACTATGCTGAGATTAAAGTGTTTTATATCAAATATTTTCTCTCTATTTTCTGAGTCAAATACACAATTTTACAGGAGCCAACAACAACTTAAAAGTTACCTACCCTGATAAAATCTTTATCCTCTCTTAAAGCTTCTTCTGAATCAGTCAAAGCATTTTCAGCATTCCCTAGTTGAAGCCAGCACTTTGATCTTGTTACAAGACAGTTTTTGTCTCCTGTGCTCATCTCCAGGGCCTGAAAACAACAGTAATATGTGAAAGTTTTAAAATTCAATACCAGCCTCCATATTTAATTTTTCTAGAATAACATATAATTTGTAATCATATCAAACTGTAAATACAGACTCTAATGCAGGCTTTGAGTACATAAGGTGGGGGCCTAAAAAGTTAACATTTTTTAGGTCACTTGTCCAAAAGGAAATATGAAACTATAGTCATGTATAATCCAACATTGTTTTTTTTACTGCAGAGTTCTGTATTCAAAATTACAGTAGAATTTAAATTTCTGTGTATATATATATAATCATCCAAAAATGTAAATAACTAAAGTATTACACATAGAAATTTAAAGAGCTAAATTGTAGAAAACCTGAATTTCAAGGGTTAAAGAAATATTAACAAATACATGTACATGTACAAATGTAGGTTATCAATTTGATTTTAAAATTAATAATTAAGGCATTCTGACATCATAGACAAGAATTAAGTGATTCAAATCCAAGATGTCAAATCATTAACTGTCATTATCATTGTTAATCCCTCTTTGATCAATTACAAGAAAAACATGATTAAAGTTAATTGAATCAAATAACTTGTGTGACCGGAAATTTGTGAAAAATGACCTACCAAAAAAATGAAAATCATTTTAAAAATCAATCATGCTTAACCTCCTCAATTTAATTAATTGTTCCATGTTTTTTATAGTTGTAAATTGAATAAAATCTGAAATAATGAATAATTATCAATATACAATGTACTGTGAATATATATTTGAATTTGAATAATCAATTTTGACTAATCTGTAATCTGATTTAAAGATTAAGAACACAATCCTAATCCATAAGTTTGCTCAAATTTAATTTGGACCGAACAATTGTAAAACTGGCTAATCATTTTTAATACATACATTGTATTTACAGTTAGAACTTTCAATGGACTATAAATACACTTTTTACATAAAATTGATAAGATGATCAACATTGGTGTGTACCTTTGTAAAACTTTCAATGGCTTTTTGATATTGTTTAACATGAACAAAGTATTCTCCTTCATCTCTGAGTGTTTCAAAAGTTCCTGCTTCGTTTGCATTTTGGGAATCGCCGTCGCCGTGTCTTCCTGGCATCTTGAATTTTTAATCTAAAAAATGTCTTCAGAGATGTTGCTTGTTGTCAAGTCCACGGGCACCTGCTTGTCGAATAGATAAATCTAGAGGTATTCCAAATTGTTTGTATGCATTTGTTCCTTAGTAACCGTAAATATAGAATTTGTTTTTAGCTTCTGTTGAAAGAAAACTTTTTTATAATTTTTTAACTATTGTCGAAAGTACTATAAGCTTACATCATACTATTTAAAAATTTGTATACGAAAATAAACTTATAACTCTACATTCATTGTTTACAAATGGCGGACAAAGATAACAAAAATTCCTCTGAAGATGGTAAAAGTTTAGAAGACTTTGTAACAGAACATTATCAAAAACAAAAGGTGTGATGATTTATATCAGGACGAATAACACTTTTTTTTAGAATAAATGTTCCCGACCAGAACTTTTCTAGAAAAAATAAATTAACCTTTTAGTTTTAAAAACGGCTGCCTTTTAAAATTCGTCAGTTCAATTTTTTGCTATTAACAATTGCAAACAAGGTGTTAAATAATGCCGAATTATCTTAAGTTTTTTGTTTATACTATTTGGCATAATATTGTCAACAGTTGTTTTTGTTTTCCCCTTACATGAACAAATATGATATTCTTTTTCAGTTTAATTTGTTTGAAATAAATTATGCACCAAATTTGAAAAAATAATATTTGTGTTTATACATGTATCATCTGAAAATGAGAAAGCTTCAAAACAAAAATTTTACCAAATAAATTATAAAAAAACTGTGACAATTCTGCTTCTATTGGTACCAAGTTGATTAAAATCCAATCTGAAATTACCACATAATATTTTTTTTAAATGTAGTTTTATATGCAATCTGGGAACAGTATATCTAATATATATGTTCCTGATGCAATATATATAAAAAAAATTGGAAGTGACAAATACTTTTGGCCATGCACTGTACATGTATCATAATTATTTGAATAAATGGCTGTGTTTACAATGTGTTACAGGAAAATAGAATAAAAAAAAACTCTGTCTGTCAGGTCTATGGAAGCACTCACACACATAGGAACTTGGTGACAGGACAATTTTTTGGACCCTCTCCCTTCTTTTCCAAATTTTATTTTTTGTTTTTTTTTCTTTAATCTTTAATTATTTCATGTTTTTCTTAGTTATATCAGAGACATATAATACAAGAGATTCGCAACTCTAGTAGAGTCTATATAACAGCCAATGAAATGACGTGGCCACCGGAAAGCCGATTAATCCGATGGATTTATGGGTAATAACCTGTATTGTTGTGTAAAAGGTTCTACGCCTCATGATTTTTCTAATGGATAATGCCGATACCTTTCACAGCTAAAGCATGCAAGTATATTTAAAAGTTACAAAAAACTAATTCTAATAATTTGTTATAGATAAAATGTGTTCTAATGATGAGATTAATCAAATACAAACAAAGTTAAAACTCGGCCCATTTTACTTCACCTATTGCCGTAGAAACCATTTGATCTCCCAATTTTTTTTTTTAAACTTGAAAATATGCTAATAAATATATAATTGTATGGGCCAATAGTACTCCCAAATGTTGTTTCGTGAAAATAAGACTATTTTCGTAAAATTTGATCCAACAATGTGGCGATTTTTTCTGATTGATACCTGAAATTTTGTATTAAACTGGCTAAATATTGAAATTGTTCATGGACAAATTTCCTTAAATCAGACTTTCTTTTTTGTGCACTATGAAATTTATAGCCTGCATTTTGTTAGACATTTTATTCATTTTTCATTCTGTTTATAGCAAAGTTGTTTATTTTCTCCTATTCTGAAGTCATTGTTTTTTTCTTCTTTTTAGGGTGCCAAAGATGAACGAATGCAGTAAATTTATAAAAGGAGTAAAATTTTCCTAGTAAAGGAAACCTTCTGCTGGTCGTAATATTATGAATGAGCTTCATATGCATCTGTTGTCGTTTCAGACTACGCTTCTCGTTCAAAACATGAACCTAATTCATTTTTAAATTAAAATCGTATTGAGGACATTTCAATGGTGACTGCAAAAGAGATATATATATATATGTATATATTTGATAATAAAAGATTTTATTTACACCAAGGATTTGTATATGTATACACATAAACAATCTTACTTTTAAATTGCCATCTCTTTACCCCAGAATAAAAAGACAAAAACCGCTACAAATGATTAAAAGACAAAAACCACTACAAATGATTGTCTCGTGGAAACAAGGTTATAAAATACTTTTTAAATAGTGTCTTCCGTGTTGCTTTGATGTATGACCTGTGTTTTTTTTATACATTTTTTTGTTGCTTCGAGGACACACATATCCATCTATGTATGCAGTATTGTCAATTGTTTTTGTTGGTGGGTCTCTCGCTTATGTTTTCGTCCTTTTCACTATCAACAAAGAGTTCGTTATCAGTTTATTCAACTAGGAGTATACCTAAGTCGTAACTATTAAGATTGTCATCCCACGAAATTAAGATTGTCATCCCACGAAATAAAATCGGAATTTTCCATATTGCGTGCACATGAATGAAGCTTTATTCAAATGAGAAATTAATTGTAATTTTCTTAAATATTAATTCTCAATACACACTTCGAACATGAAGAAACCATAAATTTACCGACAATCATTTAAAAAAAAAACTCAATGCAAGCCTATATGATAAAACTGTCAAACAACACTTAGAAATCAAACATTTACCGACAATCCTACAGAAAAAAAACTCAATGAAAGCCCAATAAATGAGGAATATAAAAATAAATAAAATTTTAATAATTTATAAATATCAAGAATAAAAAACAAAGCCTATCATGATTAACAATTAATTAACAAATAAATTAAGTTTTTTTTCCATATTAATTAATTATACATTTTGTGACTTGTATTTTTGGAAAGAGTGTGGACACCTGTGGTGTGACAACTTCTTGTTTACAAGGTGTCAATTAAAACTCATTATTTATAACATGTTCGTGATTTACCTGGTCATCGAATAATTCAAACCTAATATACATGTCACACTGTGAAATTATGTCTCCGATACAGGTGTATATTCAATAGAAACCCATTATGTAACTATCAAATAAAATGAACTCTGACACAATTTATTAAGTGTTAATTATTTAATATCAGTTTTTTTTTATACAATATCAAATTATGTCTCTTTTTCAATAATACAAATCTAAAATCAAAATTACATTAAAATAAATAATTATATATATGTACTCAAATTATATTTAATTAATTATGATAAATTTAACACTGAAACAGTTTGTGTTATGCTTAAACATTCGTCCTTACTTCGAGTACTTTTAATACTTTTATTAATGACTTTATTACCTAAGGAGATCTCGCGAGGTTTAACTAGTGGCCGCGTGTTATTACGGGATTTCGCCGAGTTGCGAATCTCTTGTATTATATGTCTCTGGTTATATCTAACATGTTCAAAGATATACATTTGTACTATAACACGACTACAAACAATCTTTTTTACCATTTACTTTCAATTGCTTGTTTACTATCCCTTAAACAGATTTCGTTTTAAGTATATTTATGTACAGTATGACACAGAAAGACAAGAAAATCATTAAAAAAAAAATAAAATAACAGATTTTGTAAAAGGGGGAGGGCAAAAGAAATTTGTCCTGTCCCCAAGTAGCCATGTTCACTCAAACAATACTTGGCCCCCAAGGGTGACTGGGGAATAGAAGTATGGTCACCATTGGTCTTCCTCCGACCGGCAGTAAAACCCTTGCTAAAGTGGGGCGTCCATTTGGCTGTGCGGGATGTACAAATTTGCAGCCACGTCTGATCAGAATGGGGACGTTAACTCCAATGCCTCGTGTAAAGAGAGTGCCACGCTCTTTGCACGTTAAGAACCCTTGCAACAACTCTCAGAGGGGTCCGTAGGTGACCTGTTGCAAGGCTAAATTTCTGTCCCTTTCTAATATACCCTCATTTCCCGTGGCAGTCTAAATTTCTCCTACCTTAATCCCGGACGCCCCTCTTACAGAACCTACCTATTGTATTTATTGTTAATTTGTTCTCGTCCTGAATATGCATGAGATATTTGCCACTGGACGTTAAGCAACCAACAATCAATCAATCAAACAATACTTGCCATATGTTTATGAAATATATAATATATGTCAATATATATTTATAAGTATATTTTAGTAGGGAAATGATAACTTTGATTGTAAGGAAATTTAGTTTTTTTTTAAATCTGTTTTTATTTTTACTATTTATCAAAAAGTTTTCTTGTGAATTCATAATTAGCATCCATGCTGAAAATGGACAAACATTGAAAAGATAAAATTTTCAGTGTTTACAGGGGAGGTAATATTTTGACACCAGATATCCCACTGTAATGACAAGGTTTTGAAAATTTCAAAAAGTGCCAATCAACTATTTTTACGGCATTCTAATACTGGGAAGTAAAATAATATAGACAATTGCATTGTAACTTGTAAGTGATGTCATACCTTCATTTCTTGTAGGACATTTATTAAAAAGCTAAGAATACAAATATATTGGAGTTGTTGCCCTTGGACAGATAAAAAGTTATACTAGACTAACTTTTTTCACATTTTTAGGATGCTGGTAAAATGGATGCAACTGATGAGATAGATGATGAAAGAACAAATAACTTTTTTTCTAAAGCACTCAATGAGAGTAGAAGGTACCTAAATTAATTGTCAAGTTAAGTTAGATATTGTGTCAACAGTTAAGATTAATAAGATATATACAAATGTTTGTATATTATATGCTTCTTAAAAGTTTAGAGATTTAACATCAAATTGGATTACTAATCTCGATTTAAGGAATAACAGTACCCTTTATTTGTAGTTGAAGAGTTGATGCCGTCACTTGACAATTTGATGGTCGCAAATAACATATCTGATTTAAATATTTAATTTGTTGTACCCTGTGCTCATGTCATATTGCACAAAAATCTCAAATTTTTACCATTTATTGTCTATAAATTTTAAGATTTTATTAGAAAAGTTCTACAAAAATGGTTCTATTTCACTACATGTATCTCACATGTCTATTCATCACCTTTATTAATTTTTTGTCTTGATTTAATGGACTGTTTTCTGCTCTTTGGTAGGGTTGTTGTCTCTTTGACATATTCCCCATTTCCATTCTCAATTTTATGATATTTGGCCTGACAGCTACGCCTTTTGTGTTGATTAATTTAGTTGATTGTTGCAAGAAAAAAAAACCAACACAAATATATGTAGCAACATGAATATGAAAACCATGAATACATCATCAATGTTTTAAATTTTCAAAAAATTAAATCACTTTAACATTGCATTGGTCAGTTAACTTAAAAAGGGCTGAAAGCAAAAAATTAAATTATAAAAAGTATGCTTGCTTACAGTAAAAATTTGCATGGTCCAATCTGTTTAAAATACGGATCCTGTGTTCAAGCTTTGCTACAAGAATCTGTAAACACTCCCATTTACTCTCTGTTCTGATAATTATTACAGCCTTCAAGTTTTTGAAGGTATGTATTATATTAATACCACAAAACCAAAGGATCCCTAAAGGTCAGGTTAAAACAGAAAGTAGAATGAAGTGTTTTTCAGATCCTTGTAGGCAAAGCTTGGACACAGGATCTGCATTTTAATCAGATTGGCAATGGTCATCTTACATTGTATAACATTTTTCTCATTAATAAAAACACCACATTAATGTACTAATTAACAACATGTTGAATACCGTAGCTGTATTTGACAAAACCTTTTGAAATTTTCGATCCTCAGTGCTCTTCAACTTAGCTCTTTATTTGACCTTTTTAAAACTTTTTTGTTTCAAGCATCACTGATGAGTCTTTTGTAGACAAATCATGCATCTGGCGTACAAAATGTAAAGCCTGGTATCTATGATGAACTTATTTGTAATAAACTCTTCTGTTATATCTTAGAATGAATGTTGAAATAGAAAAGTCAGAAGCTAAAATGAAGAAACACAGAGAAGAGTTTGGTAACAGACTTTCAGAATGGCAAGCAGAACATGCTTCTGAAGTGTTGACGCCGAAACAAGCGGAAAAATTTGGAATTTGTGAACATCCATAAGGAAATTTTAAAATCTTGTTCAGGTTAAAATGTGAAAAAAACATGGGAGAAATTTATCCATGAAAAAGAGAACATTCAAGTGACATTACATATATTGAAGTGATATGTTTTCATGTATGATGTAAGACAAAAATATCATTTTGTTTGGATTTAACATCAATAGTACTGTAAATTCAGAAATTATTGCGATGTTTTTATTATTGCAAAAAATGCGACAGAGTTATAATCGCAATAATTTAAACTCACATTTTGAATTATTTTATATGAATTAAACAGGATTTTTCTCAATATCGCAAAAAATAAATTCGCATTTTAGTCTAAAATGACAAAATCGCAATAATAAATGCACGCAATAATTTCTGAATTTACAGTAATTAGTATTTGAAATCATCAGAACATCAATTCTAAAAGTATCAGAAATGTCTGCTGTAAATGATGATAGACAGTTCCTGTACAGTTCGTACAAAGTGATTCAGTAAAAAAAAAAACTCTCATCCTGTTGTTGCTTAACTGTGCAACAGGTTGCTTGCTGGTGATTAGAGATGATAATAAAGATTTACTCACATAGTATCTATAGAATATATAGAGGGATATTTTAGAGTGACCATCAACAATATCAGTACCAAGAGTGATTATTTTACTGAATTATCTTTTTAGCACTGAATAATGTGTTTTTGTTTGGTCAAAAATGAAAATATTAATAGAAGACTAAGATTCTCAACAAACTTTTTTCTTAATAGAGTTAGCAAGCAAATTTTTTGCATAATGATTTGCAATATAAGAAGTAAAAATGAAACGATTTCAGGTTGTAAATAAACAAGTTTTTCTTTTAAATGGCACATATATATGAGAGGGAAAAATGTCATAGTTGTAACATGTTGCTGTAAGACTAGTGGAGTTGAGAATCAAGTACAGTGCATTTATTTTTATAATTGTTATTTATGTTGTTTTACATTATTCCAATTTTTATATGAGAAAGAAATTCTTGAATATTGTTGTCTTATAGTTATTTATTTTGTTTGACTGTTCATTACATTTGTCTCGCCTGTAAAGAAAGTTGTGGAAAGGGAGACATAGGTATTGCTTTTACGGTGGCGGCAGAGGATGTGTCAACAATTGTTAAGTTTTCTGTTTGACGGCTATTTTGAGGCCCTGCCCCCTAGGTCAAGGTCCAGCGACTTTCAATTAATAAGCAATTTTCAATGTTTTCTGCTTAAGCTAGTTTGATAGGAATAACTTGTGATAGATCAATGATATTTTCTTTAAAGTTGCATTACTATCAGTACATATCAGTTTGACCACTATTTCACATTAAGTCAGTTTGATAGGAACTACTTGTGATATATCAATGATATTTTCTATAAAGTGGCATTATTATCAGTACAAATCAGTTTGATGACTATTTTGAGGCCATGTCCCCTAGGTTATGGTCCAATGACTTTGAACTGTAGCAATGCTGCTGTCCATCAGATTGTCTTTTTTCGAATACAGTCAAGACATATCTGTGTCAACAGTTTTTTTTTTACATCAACTCATTTTTGATTTTGCTTTAGATATTCAATTCCTTGATAAGATGAATACCCACCTGTGACCATTTGTAGCAGTGCAATTAGGTTTTACACTGTTGACTCTTTGTAAAGGTCTAAAAATAGAACCAAAAATTAATTTGAAAGACAGGTATATATTGTTATTGTCATGGAATAGAAGTTCCTTTATATATATGTTATCAGTGTCAAATGGAAGAAATATTACTACAGGTTTATTTGTTTCTGACATTTAAATGTATTATAGCATTATTTATAACAACGTTCCCAGAGGAACTTCTGTTAGGAAGCAATAATATACGATTACAGTATGAGTCATCCAGTTTGTTTATGGCTTTGGTTTCTTTAAAATTTGAATGATTGTGCATAAATATAGGCTGGGACTATTATACTAATAGTATAATAGTCCCAGATATAGGATCATATAGTAACTAAAAAAAGTCCAATAAGTTAAGGTCCTTTTACTTTATTCAAATAAACAGTCTTACACATTAATTTGCCAATATGTCAAAATTTGCAGATTTATGCAAAGAACTACGGTAGACCGTTTGTGTACTGCTACTTTCCAACCCAAGATGGCACCAGTATACAGTTAATCTACCTTAACATTGTTGTACAGGTGCAAATACAATGCAATGTGCAATTATTTTAAAAAGAACTAAAGGAATTATGAAGAAATATATAAACTAAAATAGAAAGGAGAGTTAACATTGGTGCCTATAAGTTTCAAATTGTCTTTTAGTAAGGCTGGAAATAACTCATATCAAATGTCGAAATTTTAACACCAGGGGATTTTTTATTTATTGTAAAAATATATAATGTTGATTGGTTTTGTTTTTGGGACACATACAAAGGATAACAGAAATCACAAAAAATACTGGACAGCACAACAAAACCACATCATCCACCAAATTCTTACTTTGTAACTTTGTAAACCTTCATAGCCAGAAGAGCAGGTTTACTCAGGTATAGTAGAGGCTTGACTCTGTCTTTCCTTCCGTCCTTTTGACCCACATAGAGGTATTTAAATTTGTGTTATCTACAGTTTTCCTTCAAAATAATAAACTTTGTATAGTGACCAGAATTGAATAATTTTTTCTCAGGTTTCCCATTGTGTGGATTTTTTGTCATTAACTGCTTTACAGAGCACCTTAAGTTTATGTCAATTATCTAACAGTTTCATTTAACATTATTCCCACTTTGCAATTGGGACCCGAATATTCCCATTTTAAACTTTCCAAAAAGAGAGACAATCCAACTCAACATACAAATCTTAATATTATTAGTTTCTGGCTTAGAATTTTCTTAACAACCACAGGCATGCAGTTTGATTGGTTGGAAATAATTATAATAATTATAATGTTATTCAAACCAGAACTGTGTGGCACAGGTACAGACATTGTATTGGTCTTGCTTCTTTAGGCATAGACCATTTGATTTTCTGGGGTGGCCTGGATTTTTTTGAGAAAAAAATAATATGGCCTCAATTTTGACCAAAAAAAAAGAGATAATCTGGCCCATTCAGTTGCCAAAAAAAATATTCTGGCTTCATCTTCAGCAACTATGACATGTAAATGTCGAAAAAAATTTCTTGCTTTGGATTTTCTTGCTTTGTTTGCATGGTTAAAAAAAATTCTTTCTCGATATAGAATCCCAGCCCCCCCCAGAAAACAAAATGGTTCATGCCTTATGTATATTAGTTTAGTTCAGCATCCAGACAAAAGCAAGTCACTCTCACCTTCATTTTCAGCTTCATTGACTGGTAAAGTTAAATGGACTTTACAGTTAGTCAGCATTTAGGAAAAAGAAAAAAACTGGGAATAGAACTTATCACTTCAATGACTGGGACTCGTCAGTGGTCTCGTGGTAGGTTGTTCGGTTAGGATCACATATCTTCCTGTGTACTGTTATCTTGTGAGCTAGCATGTCACAAATCCAACTCAGTGTCGATGTGACAGTCCATGCAGTACAATGCAAGGTTCATAATTTTATCGCATTACTAGCATTTCCCCCGTCTTGATAAGCATGTAATATTTGCCACTGGATGTTAATGGCCAATCCATTTATCATTGACTTTTGTTTTACATGTAAATTTATAACTCAATCACTGTACATAATAAGATCATATAAAAGAGAGGCGGAATTAAGACAAAAGGTATATATCCAAACGCATAAGTCGAAGACAAACTTCATCACTTAAAACCCTTCGTTAAGAGCTTCCTTGTAAGCAGCAACCCTCTACCAAGGAAATCATGAAACGAAATGCAAGCTCTGGAATATCGTATCAATTTTGAGATATCTACTGCATATGAAGGCACTACTGGAATGTTGCAACATAGAAATGGAAAGTTCACAATTAGGAAGCTGAAATCATCTCTTTTGCATTCGTAAAGTTTTATTCTTAACCGACCTTCATTGTCAATTTCTAGATGTAAATCAAGATATGAGAAAGACTTATCTTTATCTGTTGTATCATATAAATAAGTATGGATTCATTCTGGAGTTAGAACAAAGTTGTTTATTAATAAACTATGTCGTAATTACAAGGTCAGGGGTGGGAGTATAGGGCGTGCGTTCCCCTTTGATTGAAAAATATATCATTTATACTATAAAATCGTCCCAAAAAATAATCGACTCGCTGCGCTGGTTGGAATTTTCCCCATTAAATGGAATTATGCTTTCCTTTGAAAAATCCTGGATCCGCCCCTAAAGTTAAGAGTACATTTGAACTGTGCAATATATCTGATGTAGTTTATGCACACCTTAATTGTGCATTATCCAAACTATAGCACAGTAAGACCAAAGAGATTTTGCCTATGTCATGTGCTAAATAAGAACATTTAACACCGTCGCTGTCTGTCCCACCTTAAAATCCGCAGAAATAACCAATTAACCGATAAATAGTTAATTTTCTAATTATAAAACTGACAAGGAGAGGGGGAAATGATTGCCAATGAGACTGACAACTATCCAACAGAGTCCAATAAATGTAGACTTAAGCAACTATATATCACCGTTGGGCTTCAGAAATGAGCAAAACCAATGTCGTAAAATCAGCTACAAAAGACCCTGACAAGACAAAATATGAAACAATTCAAAAGAGAAAATCAGCGGCTTGGTTTATGACAAAACAAAAATAAAATATGACAGACAACAACTGAAAACTACCGAATCACAAGTTTTGGACTTGGGAAATGTAAATAAAGAATGTTGCAGGGTTAAACATGTTTATGAGCGCTCAACGTGGTCAACCTGGAAAAGTGGTGTAACAACACAACATAAGAATAAATTGTGAAAATCAGTTGTGAAGGGCTTAGCCCATTAAACGCTATTTATTATTGTTTTATTTAGATACGATAAACGACAACGGATTTAATATAAACATGATAAAAAGATCTTTCAAATAAAATGAAAAATCCGACTGAGACTTTGATACAAAAAAAAAGAAAAAAAGAGAGATAATCAATAAATAACAGATGCTAAACACAGTTTTTAAATAAGCTATTTTTTGCATTCTGTAAGATTTTAAATGCATCTTCACTTCCAGGGGCTGCGTTTTTGTCAGGATGTACCAATATAGATAGTTTTTTGTAAGCTGTCTTCACATCCGCCCTGAAAATGAAAAACAAATAGATTGAATACATGTAACCATTCTTTAATTTGTTTTGAAATAATCACTCTTTTAGAATAATGTGCTTAATACAACTGTTTCACGAGAAATGTCGTCATCAGACATTTATCCTTGACTAATTCACATGTAAAATAGACCGATATCAAGAAAAAAAGACTAACATCATGTCAATTTTCATGCAACTGTATTACTAGTAGTGTCAAGCTCCTGGTGTTGGAACCTTTTTTGTGCATGACATTGGAATTGCTTTACGGATGATAAATGCGGTCTTATTGTTGACGGCCGTACGGTGACCTATAGTTGTTAATTTCTGTGTCATTTGGTTTCTTGTGAAGAGTTGTTTCATTGGCAATCATATCACATCTTCTTATATTTATCTTAACTCTTTCCTAAGTTGTGTTTTCATCTTAACACGGACTCATTGATGATCGAGATAAGAAATAGCGTTTAGTATACTAAGACTGCATGCCTGTCAATCGGAGAACGCATAGAAACGATAAAAGAAATTACATAATTCTTCTTCAGATCAGGTCGGGTAAAAGAAAAATTATCAAACCAATGTAAGCGGATTTGGATGAAAAGGGGAGGGGGTTCCTTCAATTCTGTATTCTTTATTCTTTTAGGTCATTTTTTCTCTATTCTTTATGTTTTTACCCGTTATTCTCTATTCTTTATATTTTAGCACTCCATTATTCTCTATTCTTTATTTTTTTGGCCGATTTTTTCTCTATTCTTTATATTTTTTTGCCTTTGTACTTCACTTTTTACTCATTATTCTCTGTTCTGACCCCATCCAAACCCTCATGTAAATCAAATGTCAAACAACAACTAAATATGAATAAAATGGATCATGAATTATTATAAAATGTAATTGATCACTTTGTTTTCTTTTAATATATTACTGATAAGATGTGATTTATTTGACGATCTTAAATCAAAAATGGCCACTATATCAACTTCAACTTTTATAAACACTCTAGACAGTTTACACTGTAACAAGAGGCAGACAAATGATATAAATAATATTTTACAATGGTGAAATCTACTGAAGCAACATAGAACTCCAGTGGGGAAACATTATCATACATAGCTAGCTTCAGACATTTGACAATTTGATATATGCTTTTTTTATCATGGTTTTATATCACAAATTCTTAAAATATACTTTGTTGCTCCTGGACGAATCCCAAGTCTGTCATAGTCAGTTTTTCCTGATGTGAGTTTATATATGGCATCTACTTGCCGCTTGGAGTAAAAATCGTCATGTTGTGCCTGGAATTGAAAAAACTCCACCTAAATTTAGAATAACTTATCAAAAAAAGAAAACAGGCCGATAATCCTACACAAAAATTTACCATTGGTTTTCAACTAGGCAATATTTTATTACTGAAAAAGAGTGCATTAATAAGTATTGCAATACTTAATTATAAAACCATAAAAGAAGCAGTTTTCATGACATCTCGGATTATCCTTTTTTAAAAGTATTTTTATATATGTTGATATAAAAGAATGTAATATTTTGTTGAGTTTTCTATTCTAAACGATACTTAAGCTTGTTCACAACATATATATATATATATATATCAATCTTTTACCTAAATATGTAGCTTTTGCAGGACAAAATGTAAATTCTATCTTCTTTTGTTAGGGAGGGGAGTTCCAATGAGGATTATTTTTTTTATAAAAAAAAAGTTTGAATATAAGATTTCAATTTGATCACAGTAAACTTATATAAAGAGTAGTCCCCGCTTTCATGGATTGTGCCTTACCGATTAAACATGAAAAATACACGATCCTAAATGTTCTGTAACCACAAAAATGGCATGGTCAAAGGTGAATCTCTACACACAATTTGTTTTCTATATCAGAGATGACGGCCAAAGTAGATTATGCGACAAAATGTTATAAACTTCGAAAATATTTGACAAAAATTGGTGTTTCAACACAAATAACGCACGATTAAGGGGTCGTAACTTCGTTATTTATAACATGAAGTACTAAAAAGAAGTTATTCTGTATTAATAGTAATATCACAGTTTGTTATATGTGACATTTGAAGTATTTTGACCTGATTTAAAACAAAACATACTTGATCTTAGGGGCATTTTTATCAATTCGGGAATCTACTATTGACATATACAGGGCCTTAAAAAAACTTCCTAAGAGGAGGTACACCGTCCGTAGTCTATTTGGCAACATAAACGTTTCTCCTAGTCACCTTCTCCATATCTTTAATTGTTTGCTTTAGCTCGTTTGACTTTGCCGACCAAGAACATTTCTCATTTTTCATTCTTTCCAGTTCCTTATATGTTGTCGAAACAGTGTTTTGCAAACCTTTGAGTCTGAAAATAAAAACTGGAGTAAATGATATAATTCCGACTGTTGCATTTCTCCATTTTTTCTATTGCTAACATTTTGTTTATGTTCAGAAAAGGAATGTGATAAGAATTGTCGTACACCGATTATGACCGTACAACAATTATATCCATTTCTGATCTTCTAAGAAATTCTTCATATTGTTTTCTAAACCAAACATACTCAAATGCTTCACTGTGACTTTGATATGAAAAACAGCAATAAAAGTGCAGTTTCTTTGCTTTTATACTTGTGGTGAATTTTTTAATATAAAAGATCCACAATGAGCATTTGTTATACACAAACGACAATGTGTTAAATTATAAATTCAGAAAACAATAAAAAGGTTAAAACTTGTTTTATTGGCATTTTTAACAGTTATTTGGTTACAGGTTTTCTTTACACGCGGTACACTTTTAACCTTTTAACCTTAGCAATTGATGAGGATTGTATAATAATGGGATGTAAGCAATTATAGGCAACCGTACGGCCTTCAACAATGAGAAAAACACATACCGTATAGTCGGCTATAAAAGGCCCTGACATGAAAAATATAAAACAATTAGATGTCTGCTACTGTTTCGTGTTTATAGGTTGATTTCTAATCGAAACAACTCATACATCTATTTAATTTATCGACGACCCTAAAAAATATATTGATAAAGAAAATGCAACCTTCATAGAAATCCATTAAGCGATTTAGGAGGATTTACATATTGTTTCAACCCATATTTTCATGTTTTGGCATCAGAACAATAAAACAGTTACACTAAAAAGACGGAAAGCAGATGTACAACAACATCTATACGAGTTGAATAAATAAATCATTCGCTGAATGGTTCATGTGGTATTTCAACCAGAAATGTGCAATATCTGTTTTAGGCACTGATTCCAAGGTTCTTTTTGGAATTTATTTTATGTGAGGAATACAAACAATATTAAATACTTTTTTTATTTGATTCTCAAAACTGTTTTTTAAAAATAAAATTCTATAAAATCAAAAGCATTTTTACTTGACTTGTTGCTTAAATTTGAGGAAAAAAAGAAAACATTTGTTAACCTAAAGATAAAGTATATGTTCAGATATCTCAGGTCAGTAGAAATATACAAAAGTGAAACAATTATCGAAACATACCTTATGACGTTTTCTTCATATTTCTTCTGAATATCTTTTAAGGCTCTGTTTTCTGCTTCTAATTTTTGAAGTCTGGTTCTTGACATTTTTTCATATTCTTCATGTGTTCTTTTTTCTGCTTCTAATTTTTGAAGTCTAGTTCTTGACATTTTTTCATATTCTTCATGTGTTCTTTTTTCTGCTTCTAATTTTTGAAGTCTAGTTCTTGACATTTTTTCATATTCTTCATGTGTTCTTTTTTCTGCTTCTAATTTTTGAAGTCTAGTTCTTGACATTTTTTCATATTCTTCATGTGTTCTTCTTTCTCTTTGTGTGTATGCAATGGAGGCTTGAAGCTGAGATTCTGTCCATTTTATTTCGTTATGAGCAACATCCAAATTTTCCGACAGTTCGGAACAAATGCGGTTATATTTTTGATTCTCCAACTGCTGTTGCTGCAATGATAATGCTACGTCTTTCCTCTTTTCCTCACATCTAGAAGATAGTTACTGCGAGCATCAATACTTATCATATATAACCAGAGGACATTGAAAAGATATATAAAAAAAAACCATTCCAAACTTTCATAAATACTGTTTTGGTTTTCAAGAATCAAAAGAAAAAAAGACTTAAGAACTATTAAACCGGACGAATGACCTGGTTTTAGTTCATACACTTTTTTTTTTTTTTTTTTTTTATTTTTTATGATTTTCAAGATTTTAAATTTGACAAAACAATTCAAAATCTTTTCAAATTTTGACAAAAGAGTTAAAAATCTGGGTCCCATAAGCATTTAGTTGACAATCATTCTTGCATGGAATAACAGGCTCATGAATATATCGAAATTCTAAAACAAATTGAAACATTTCCATATACCAGACTTCACACACGATGCATCAGATACAAGTACCTGGGATGTGTTTTGGTTGATTTTAGTCTCTGATGCATGATTTTTTATTATTAATTGTTTTTGGCTTTTAACTAGCTGTCAGTAACTGCGAGTACTCTCAAATCGTACTTTCTTGTTTATTTGACTGTTGATACTAATTGTAATGCTTTTTTGTTATTTAATGTTTACTTATTCAGGGTTATATCTGGTTTATATACCAGCTTTGATAAGTGTTTGGTATTACTATAAATTTTCACGTAGTATGACCATCAAAATTATCTATTTTGTAAAAATATTTCCTTTCTCCATTTGAACTGTACACGTATACCTAACAACAAAATTATTTTCATTTACCTGTGTTTACAGTAATTGCAAATGGCTGATATTTTTGTTCAAGCATATTGATTTTCTTAAATTGTTTAACATTTCACAGCGGTATAACATGTTACTTTAATTATTCTTCCCTTAGTTTATTTTTTTTGTATTTACATTGTATCATAGATCAAATTTATTTGTTCAGTGTATGTTCACTGGTGTTAATATGTCTTTTGATTGAGTTAAGCCATTTTAAATGATATTTTATAGTGTGTCTTTCTATGTTGTGATGTTACACTATTGTTTCAGATAAGGGTGAAGGTTTGGTAGCATTAAAACGTTTAAACCCGCAGCAATTATTTGCACCTGTCCTAAGTCAGGAATCTGATGTTCAGTAGTTGTCGTTTGTTGATGTGGTTCATAAGTGTTTCTCGTTTCTCGTTTTTTATATAGATTAGACCGTTGGTTTTCCCTTTTGAATGGTTTCACTAGTAATTTTTTGGAGCCCTTTATAGCTTGCTGTTCGGTGTGAGCCAAGGCTCCGTGTTGAAGACCGTACTTTGACCTATAATGGTTTACTTTTATAAATTTTGACTTGGATGGAGAGTTGTCTCATTGGCACTCATACCACATCTTCTTATATTTACATACTAGATGTATGCACAATGCAACATCTCCAAAGATAGGGGCGTTTCTGAAATGCATAAATAGAGTTGACTGAAGAAGCGACTACATTAAATTGTAATTGAAAATTGACATAAGCGTTTCCCCCTCTTTTTTTACCCAAATACAGCACGATATTTCGTTCTGATCACCATCATGGAACCTTTAAGTTGTTGTCAGTTGCGAGTTAATTATAAGTTGTGGTGAACAACCTTGTGCGTACCTACCTTGTGATGTATTTCCCCATATTTCTGGCAACTTCCTCACACTTTTGTCTACTGAGGTGTTTTTCTTCATGCAATTTGTTTTCAGATTCAAGTTGTTTAAGTTGATGCTGTACCAACATCTTTTCTTGTAATTTGTTTGTCGAATAACTGTATTGTAAGATCTGTGATTTCAAATATTCATTTTCTCTGCGAATCCTGTCAATTGCCTTGTCTAGTTGTTGTATTGTATCATTTCTGTAAAAGTTGAGTATTGAATAGTAAATCAACCGAGTATCATATTATAAGATTATATATTGGTATATTACAACCGGAAAGGGAAAATTCACAATTAAAGTCATTGTTCTTATCTGGTAATTTTGTTCTGAACTAACATCTGTTTGGTTTCAGAATTCAAGACATTAAGCAGATTTTTGTTTCAGGTGGGTCCTTGTAAAATTTCATAACAATCGACGATAAAAGATAAATATGTGAACTAACGCCACAAGCGCCCTTAATACCGCCAAAACAAACATATGTATAGTCAGAAGTCCATTACTAGAGTAGTAGTAATGGACTTCTGGTATGGCATATGCCATGTAAATAGAAATAAGAAGATGTGGTATGAGTGGCAATGAGACTCTCCTTCCAAGTCACAATATGTAAAAGTAAACAAAGTACGGCCTTCAACACGGAGCATTGACTCACAGCGAACAGCAAGCTATAAAGGGCCCCAAAATGACTAGTGTAAAACAATTCAAACAGGAAAACCAACGGTCTAATCTATATAAAAAACGAGAAACGAGAAATACTTATGAACAACATCAACAAACGACAACCACTGAACAACAGGCTCCATACTTAGGACATGTGCAAACAAATGCAGCGGGTTTAAACGTTTTAACAGGCATCAACCTTCCCTAACCTGAAACAGTAGTGTAACATTACAACTTATAAGCTTATTTCTTTTAAGCTTAAATAGTCAAGACTATAAGGTGTTAGACCGTGCAAAATAATTAAAATTACCTTTCACGAATTGATATGATCCAACAGGAACATGCTACAATAACTCCCAATAACCCAGAGCTGCCTAATACTCCAATATAATATGTTAAGATGTAAAAGACAACAACTCCACACTGAAAATAAAGACATTTTTACCAATGTGATGGAGATGCATGTTTTAGTGATTTAAACTACTTACGTTTAAAAAATCAAGATTTATTCAATTTACACTAGATCAATCAAGAGAAAACATGAGACCTTTATATTTTGACGAAGCGGTCTATATCCAGCTTGTTACGGTACTATTATTTATAAAGATAACAAGATTAGAAAATATCCTTCATATGTTTTTTTTTTTTTTTTTCTAAATAGACTTATTATGACTAATAAAGGTTACAATTTTTCTGCTGATGTCTAATCGCTGCTCCTGAGCTTGTTTTTTGTTATTGCTAATTTTCGTTGGGGAGGGGGAAGTCAACACATTTTTTTTGTATGTTCGGTTGTGTACCTTTTATTTTTCCGCTTATCGATATCAAAAAAGAGTAGTGTTTGGGATCTTAAAAATGTAGTTTTGCATCGCATATTAATGTCTTGGTACCTTGTTACTAATGGTCTTATGTCAACTCTTAAAGTGTCGTGTTATATTAAGAAATTGATGTTAATGTCATATCTTTGTATCATAAATTGATATGTCTTGTTTTATTGATTTGCAATTTTATTAGTATCTAAATGATTTCGAGAATGGGGCTTTGGTGACCGAGTGGTGTTGGTCCTTCCTCTACCGTATTACTAGCATGTCATCACTAAGGTCGTGAGTTCGAACCCCTCAGGTGCGTTCGACTCTAATCTTAATTGGCTAGAATTGCAAGTTTTCTTGCAGAAGGTCGGTTGTTCTCTCCGTACACTCTGGTTCCTCCGACCAATAAAAATCCGGCCGCCATAAAATAGCCAATAGGACTGAATGAGGCGTTAGACACCAAATAATCATTTGGTAATAATTTCTGAGACTGACATATTGTATAGACACCTGTAGTCTACTCCTTTCTGTTGAAGACTGTGTTTATCTCAAAATGTCTATAGCGATAATTCAGTCAGGTTGGTGTCTCATTGACGTCTGTGTAACTGTTCTATAGCAAGGACGCATAGGTAGTTTTCTGATAACAAAATTTTATTTTGATATTTTCATGGTGTCGAACACGATTGTCGATGAATACATTTTTGAAATATGCATATTTTGTATTTTGAATTAACATTTTTTTTCATGTTTGATAATTCATAGTTTACGGTGTAAACACACATTGTAAATAAACTTTTATAATAACTTTTACTACACTTACTATGATTATATACCCATCTTTCCATGAAAACTTTGATCCATCATTTTGTATTTCGGTTGGATGCATTACTCTCTTCAAAGCACTACCTAAGAGGTTTAACCATATGAATTGCATGATTCTAGTGTTTAAAGTGACGTCTAATGTCTACAAAAATGCAAGTACTTATTTTGAAACACATATAAGACGATTTCAAAATTTACAAAACAAACAATTAGTACTTTAAACAATTGTCTATATACAATACATGTACAAACATTTATCGGGTTAATTCATGTGTAATAGGTACAAAATGTAAATATAAGTGAACTGTTTAAAGGTGCATTATATATCATGTTCAACGATTTGACTCAAATTCTCATATTTGATTTATAACATACTAAAAGTCTAAACGTAGCTCCAAATTATAGAAAGTCTAAAATAAACAATGCAATTCATGGGCGCGATAATATGTATCAGCGTTTCATGTGAATTATAGACTAGACGCCATCTAATTAACTATCGAGGTGATCAATGAAGACTGCCGACGGTCATATATTTTTTTTTTTTACAAAATTGAACCAAACTTGCTGCTAAAAGCGAATTATTATTTCACTATTTCACTTTCATTAATGATTAAACATAAACAAAAATCGTATTTTATTTTTTTATATATCTCGTAGTTAACGCCCCTTTTATGTTCAACAATGTAATACATTAAAAGTTTTCCAAAGACTTTTAGCGGAAAAAGAAATGGCTAATGATGACATCAAATTTTAAACAATATGGATTTTTTAAAAGCTTTTTCAAAGCATCGTGAATATTAAATTGTAAATGAAATTACTAAAAATATCAAAACACATATATATGATAAAAGAAAATTTAGAAAAAGTTAACCCATATGCCTGAAATAAGAAAAACACAAAGAAATGTCAAATGCATAACATCTTCTTTTTGCTCATTGTTGAACACTGTTGATGTGGGACAATCAGGACTCTGCAATTTAAAAAAATAGTTGGGACAATCAGGAATAAACTTTTCCATATTGAAATAGACAGAGTAAGTTAATTCAGAATATAGGAATAGTCAGAATATACCCCTAAGTGATAGATTATTTGTTTAATTATCTATAGTGCCAAATATTTGAAGCATGTGAAGTATGATAGGTCGATTAAAAATTGTTCAATCCGGCAAACCATGGGAATAATTTGTCATCAGTACACGAATTCCAATGGTATTCTAATGTGCTGTGACAGTTATTAAGTGCCAGTCTTTGTAAGAATCAGGCAATTCAGAAGAAAAAAATCAAAACATGGCCGAAAAAAAAACCACCGACCTAATCATCCTATTTTAAAGTTGCCCTCGTCCTGAGTAGGAAATGGTAAAATCTTTTCGTTTCTGCTCTTCTGATAATTCGAGAAATCTCTAGATAACTTTTGGTTAGAATGATAGCAAATAACGGAGTTAGCTCCCCTTACTTGTTCATAGATATTGCGTTTTAACCAAATTATATCTTGAATTGTCAGAACGGGAAAAGGAAACGAATGGTATATTCGTGCACCATTATACAAATTGAACATAAATTAATGTCAACTTGAAATGGTTTTTGTTAAATTGTTATGTTTTCAACACTGCCTGATTCTAAGGCAGATTGATACTTTAAAAATACATGTAAACCATGTATGTTATAAAAAATAATAAGGTTTCTGTTCACGGTAAGGAAGATGCCCCCTACACCACTACCACCATCACCATCACCCCCAAAATCAACCAAAAAAAAAACCCGACAACAATAAATTGATTTAAGTAATTTATAAATACGAGCATGCCGTATTAATGGCTATGTCCAATAATGAATTGGCAGTGTTACGACAACTGCTGATTTAATTTTATTTATACTTACCGTCGGTATAGTTGATGTTAGAAATTCTTAATATCTAGCTGCTTTAATTTTCTCAAAGATCCTCTTTTGAATATCCAAATTTCAATTGTCTTGGCTATTTTTATTATATATTTCTTCCCTGTAACAAGTAAAGGTATTAAATACTAATTTAAATAACAAACTTTAAAACATTTGAATTGGATACAATAGCAATATTGTAACTTTTTTTTATATGTAACGGTTTCATTATTATTGTATAAGATTACTTATTCTCTTTTACCGTTGTTAAGTCATTCATTACAATCTATTTTTATCGCCTTCAATAAGAGTTTATTTGTTAAATGTCAAATTAATCATGCTAATCTGATGCCCCGTTGCTCTGGTTATACAGGTGCTCCGGTTGACCTCAGCTCCTGGCTCCGGTTGACCTCTGCTCCGGGGTTCCGGGCTCCGGTTGCCCTAGCTCCGGTCGATTATTTCTTTGTGAGGAGTCATTTAACCATATTTGTAATCAGGCTACTAGGGCAAATAGAGTGGTATAAAAGAGAGAAATAGCTGTAGAGAAGGGAGTTACGATTTTGTGTACGAGAGAAGTGTACATAGGAGATTTAGGATTATGCTACCGTATTGTTGAGCCTGCAGTTTAGGTGTTGTAAATTTTATTACTGTTACTTTGGATTTTGAATAAAACAGTATTGAACTTTTAATCGACTTTGTGTTTATGTTCAGCTGCAAGACTTCGTTCAAACTACACCAGGATCCATTTTATTTATGTGACCAGGCTTCCCTATATCACGCTCCCCGTTGAATAAGGGTAATCCTGTAAACGTGTATCATTGGCATCTGTCGTCCGTGTACGAGTGAAAGGCACGACCTGAAACTTATACACACAACACAGCACAAACACCAACACACGGATACACACTTTAGTTCAGTTCTATAATCAACTTTTCGTCACAATATATTGATTAATTGTTGTCGGACGTTTTCAGAAAATCTGTCTGTATTTTATATAATCAAAAAATTAATAAACAACGGTATATCTTTGCAGACCATTTTTGTCATTTTATGTATTAATTTATCATTTGTTTGGAATTAAAAAAAAAGTTTTAATATACAAGAATAACAATAAAATTAGTTGATAAAACTTCTTTTTTAATTAACCGAAACAGATCTCTTCAATAGTAAAGATCGAAAATCAAAAGTAAGAGATCTAACATTTTATATACTTATGTGTAAGGGGTAGAAATGCGACTATAAAGCATGAACAATCACTTTTTAGTTCTTTCTTTTTAAACCTCCCAAAAGTCTAAGCAAACATATGATACGTACCTTTGTATAGTGATTCAAATAATTTCCCGAAAATGTTATTGTATTGCGTTTTAATTCAAAACCATAAAAACTATATAGCGAACAATTAATGCAATGTTATTTGTTTTACGTCAAATATATACTGTTCTAGTCAGTTACAACACACCAATGTTCTGGACAAAACCAGCACACTCCATTCGATTTATTCTGGACAAAACCAGCACACTCCATTCGATTTATTCTGGACAAAACCAGCACACTCCATTCGATTTATCGAATATACTGTGCAAGTTGGTCACATTCAACAGACGGTACTGTACGTAAATTCATTATTTGCTATTCTAACATGACGCTCTACTTTCGCTTTGTAAACGGAGTCATATATAAATTCGGTGATTAAAGTGTACAACGAAAATTTTTAGCAGCTTTAACTTATCACATTTATACCAAATTCGTAGGACATGATTTTTAGAAAAAGCAGAAAATTATTAAAAGTCAAATTATTTAATATTCTACGCGACATTACGTTTATTCTATTCTTAATTATTTCTATAACTGCTAACACCCACTTCATTTGAACTTTGGGATAGTTGTCTTATTGGGCAATCACATCACATCTCCTTACTTTTATATAAAGTTGCTTGCCAAATTTCCATAAAATCTGTTTAATTGCGCATTTTTATGTAGCACCATTCCAGTAGCGCCTGAATATGGAGAACATCTCCGAATTGGTACGATATTTCAATTGCATGATATTCCAAGGAAGCTATTAAACTATGAGTATCAAGTAGTCAAGTTGAAATCTTCCCTTCGAAAATTTCGGACGCCATCACGAGTTGGTTGACCGTTATTGAATATCTGTTTCACAGATGACGGCTGATTTGTTCCGATTGTCGTAACCATAATCCCGTCCTCTTTGCCTCGGAATGTGAACTGCTGAATTAAACTAATCACCGGGGTTGAACTCACATGGGTAACACGACGTGTGTCACATGTCTAGGATGTGTATATAATGAGACAATACAAATCTTTTTACATGATGCGGAGCAAGATCTGCTTACCATTGCGGAACCCCCGTTTCTGGGTGTTTTTTTTTTTTTGCTAAGTCTTTAGTTTTCTACGTTGTGTTTGGTAAACAGTTGTTTGTTTATTGATAGTTTTTATTGTCACTTTGTTTGCAACTTTTAACTTTGAATATCCCTTTGATGTCTTTTGCCACTGATTTACGTACATATTTTACCGTTCACATTGAGAAATTCGTTAAGAGTAATTTGGTAAGGTAGAAAAATTACTTATTTTGGCTTTTCAGTTTTGTTCATCTTTACCAAGTCTACAACAATTACTCGTTGATTTACAATTTATTGATCTTTATTGCTGGGACCTTGTATAATATTATGAAAGAATCTGTACTATACGTTGTGTTCGTCTACGCAAATTAGAACGCGTGAATGTCTTAACAAAAATATGTCTTATCATGCTGTCATCATCCCAATTTAACCATTTGTTCGTCTGTCCGTCCGTCCGTCCCATTTCATGTCGGAGTTTTTGGTGAAAGCAATTTTACATAAAACAAGAGGCTCTCAAGAGCCTGAATCGCTCACCTGTAATTTTTTGCTTATATCTTTCATCAATGATTATTTTTGCTTTTCAATATATATTAATGAATGGCTTAAAAACTTCCATTGAAATATTCTTTGTATCTGTCATATTTTCTTCAAAATCAAAGAAATGCATTTTACCCCTATGTTTCATTTTAGCCATAGTAGCTATGTTTCTTGATGTACAAGAAAAATAAAAAACAAAATTTATACTAGATACTCTGAAACTCATTCAGCCCAAGTTTGGCTGAAATTGATTCAGCAGTTTCAAAGGAGAAGATTTTTTAAAGTAAGCAAACTTAATGAACAAATTGTAAACACATGATTTTAAAGGGCAATAACTCCTTAAGGGGACAATTGACAACTTTGGTCATCGAACTTATTTTTAGATCTTACTTTGCTGAACATTTTTGCTGTTTACAGTT